TAAAGTACTACACAAACTACATTCATTACTCATTGAACTGAAAATAGGACTTCCAAAAATGTAAATAAATTGTAGTTGTTGTTGAGATCCAAACATAGAGTGTAAATATTAACGGACGTAGTTTCAAAATGGCCGTGGGGCTGGACAATGTGAAAAAACACATTGATTTAGCGGCACTAGCCCCATTCATTTAACGAGTGCATTCAAAAGTCCACAGCGGCTAAACTAGACTGGTCCAAAAATATATATACTCCCCTCAACATCGACAGCATCTGGAACGAAGCTTTGGACCAAGAGCCACTTTTGGACCATCTCGTAAAGACGATTTGAGAGGAAAGAAGACACCATACAAAAGCATTGGGTAATTCTCTTTCCGGGTACACCCCCACAGGCAGGACCCGCCCAGACTGGTACTAAATGCCGATAAAGAGGAATGCTGGCTGTTTATTGGCTGTTGAGGGACAGTTATCAAACCCGGACTGGGAGACGCCATAGATGGACTCTTTGTTTACAATTTAAACGGGAGAGAGTGAGCATTGGGGCAGATTTACCGAGGACCTGCCACGTGGTTGAGGGTTGTATTTCTTGTATATGTCTGCATTTACTGAAATAATAAACCACACTTAAATTGTACATGACAAGGGACATGGCTCAGTTGGGAGAGCATTGGCCTTTGAGCCTGATGGTTGTGGGTTCGAGCCCACCATAAGACCTACTTCACGACTCCCACTGATGACTGCTGCCGTTGTGTCCTTGGGCAAGACACCTGTGGACTCAGCACTTGCAGGAGGATCAGTGAGAGGCTGGTGCTCTGACTGCCACCCCCGACCCATTGTATGTCTCTCAATCTGTCCAGAAATTTTCCGCAACACTTTTTTTGCCACTTTAACTGTCACATGTTTACGACCAGATCAACTTGTGGAGAAAGTGAAAATTGAAAACTTTTCGGTTAATTTCTGCTCCTAACCTTCTTTCCCTCGGGAGTCGCAAACATGACTTTAGAGTTCTGAGCTTCTTGTGCTTTTTTGGATGTACCTCGGTGATGCCAGGTGCATCCAAAGACGCTTCATGAGTAGAAAAGTTTTACGACCAAAAAAAAATGAATTTGAAAGAAGCAACAAACTTCACCCTAAAAAATTCTTGGAAACTGTTATGAAAAAGTGGTTAATTATCTATGAAAATGGCTGTGACTATTAGGCAACCCAGAGTTAATACTTTTAAGATATTACAAAGGATTTATTGTGTGAAAAAGTTTAAAAGAATCTATAATTTGGGTTTTTAATGTAGCGTAGTTCTCACACTCATTAGACCCTGAACCGCCTGACCCCACCCCCACTGAGAACCGGTCTGACCCAGATTCAATTTCAGTTTCTTGATTGAAAATGACAGAACAAAGAGAGTGCATCCTTTTATCAACAAAACTTTAAAATGACACCATTGAACCGTTTTGGTCTGGTCTTGGCTCATGAATCATAAATATTGACCCTAAATGTAAGTACATGTGATAGCAGACGGTCCATCCCTGTAGACGTTTTAGCCTTGATCGTTGGAAGCTTTTAGATTCAGAGTCTGAGTGTGTTGTACTCTTGCTCTTTCCACGTTTCCGCAGCCGTCCATGAATGAAATACAGTATGTACTAGCACCGGGAATCTTGGGGACATCACTGGGATTTGACTATAAAACAATTATTGATGCACTTTTTCCATGTTTTCTCGGTTTTTGGTTGTTTTTAGTTTAGATAACCAACCAATATCCACATTTTTTAAATTTACATTAGCGTCACAACATCAGACAGCTGTGCGGCCAAGTTGCCATGGTGATCTCCCAAAGTCGGCAGCGAGGAAGCGTTTGCTGCTAGCTTAGCGGCAAACAGATGTCGGCCGTGTGTTAGTTTTTCATAGTAAAAGAGTGATAAGAGTAAAGCGCACTGTACATTGTGTAAAACTGTCACCAGGTGGATTCAAAACAAACACGTAAAACACCAGAAACTTGATCAAACATCTAAAAACTCACCACCACACTGGGCTAGCACATTTGCTAACACCGCAGCTAGCATCAGAGCACAACAACAACCAACTCTACAGCATATGTATGGTCCACAGTTAAATAAATGATGAGTTTATAGAACTATCAGATATACATACACCGAGACACATATGTAATGGTCTCTAGCAGCTTGGTTCACTAGTGTTTTTGTTCTGAAGAGAAGAACGTAGCTAGCATTAAATGGGTGTGGGATTATGACATTTTCTCCATAACAAAACAAAACTGGTAGCAACGCCCGGGTACGCACAGGCTTTAAGGATCGTAACTTTCCCCACATCAAGTCTCTGTGTGTTCCCCGTCGTCAGGCCACAGTCGCAGCATCAGATAAGAAAGCTGGAAGTGAGCAAGAAGAATGTTTGGTAAATGCCATTGAGGCAAAGACGTTGTGGTTCTACTCCACACAGGCTCCGTTGGTGGCAAAGGAGATATGGCTAAAGCTAGGCTAAATGCTAAAGCTAGGCTAAATTACGGATAGCTACATCTGATAGCCAGTACTATCACATGAACCTACGCCTAGACACGCATGTAATGGTCTCTAGCAGCCTGGTTTGCTAGTGTTTTTGTTCGGAAGAGAAGAAAGTAGCTAGCAGAACTACTGTATATAATGGAACCGCTTTGGTGTCTTGGGCTACTCCTGTGAGATCGCCATCATGTGGTTGGGTGTGGGATTACGAAAAAAACAAAACCAATCTAGTATCTTGGCGGCACGGTGGCTGAGTCGATAGCACTCTCGCCTCTCAGCAAGAAGGTCCTGGGTTCGAATCCCGGTCGGACCAGGGCCTTTCTGAGTGGAGTTTGCATGTTCTCCCCGTGTCTGCGTAGGTTTCCTCCGGGTACTCCGGTTTCCCCTACCACTAAAAATATGTCCAATAGTTCTGGCATGTTCTTCCTGTACTGGCCCCGCTCTCATCTCTGTGTGGAGTGAGAGACAAATGCCCAAAATTAACAATTGTAAACCGCTTTGAGACTCTGGTCTGCAGTGAAAAGGCGGTATATAAATAAAAACTTACTTACTTACTTACTAGTAGTGACACACAGGACTTCTCCCTCCTCTGGTATCTGTGTTCCCTGTCGTCGGGCCTCAGTCGCTGCATCAGATTAGAAGGCTGTAAGTGTCAGACAGGAGAGATCTGAACCATCGATCGGTTTGGGCTCTGATCCGACGCTGCTGTTCGACGGAGCTGTTTTTGGCTCTCGTTCCTCTCTCCTGTCCACACACTTTATTTACAGTACACACAAACGACCACAACATGAAACATTAAGCCATTACACTACTTTAACTGTGTGTTTTCCTTCGTTAATTCTTTATAATGGCAACCTACCACATTAAGGATTTGAAGATTTTTATATTTTTGGCACGGTTCTAAGGTTGCCAGTCTTTTCCATTGGTATCGTTTTAAAACTACCTTGGAATGATTGTGCACACAGATTATTTTCACACGCAACACCCTGGAAATGAACACCTCCTTAAAACAATACCGTTTAAGATCCACCTTCAAAGTCCTCTCCCTGGATCACGGAGAGAGAGGACGGATTCACATAAAACTGAAATACTGCAATGTCAGGTGGGAAAACTGACCCAAGGCTCCATGGTCATTTCCTACATGTACGTCTGGTCTTACCATGTGTAAACTCTGGTCCATGATCATTTCCTACATGTACATCTGGTCTTACCATGTGTAAACTCTGGTCCATGATCATTTCCTACATGTACGTCTGGTCTTACCATGTGTAAACTCTGGTCCATGGTCATTTCTTACATGTACGTCTGGTCTTACCATGTGTAAACTCTGGTCCATGGTCATTTCCTACATGTACGTCTGGTCTTACCATGTGTAAACTCTGGTCCATGATCATTTCCTACATGTACGTCTGGTCTTACCATGTGTAAACTCTGGTCCATGGTCATTTCCTACATGTACGTCTGGTCTTACCATGTGTAAACTCTGGTCCATGGTCATCTCCTACATGTACGTCTGGTCTTACCATGTGTAAACTCTGGTCCATGGTCATTTCCTAGATGTACGTCTGGTCTTACCATGTGTAAACTCTGGTCCATGGTCATTTCCTACATGTACGTCTGGTCTTACCATGTGTAAACTCTGGTCCATGGTCATTTCCTACATGTACGTCTGGTCTTACCATGTGTAAACTCTGGTCCATGGTCATTTCCTACATGTACGTCTGGGTCTGATCCTAGTGGCTGCAGTTTCCTCGGTTGAATCTCCTCCGACCAATCAGAGAGCGGGGGAGGCGGGTGTTGTAGGTCGGTGTCGGTGACGTCAAGAGTTTGTGCTGAATTTGCTGGTTGTAGTTTGTCGGAGAATGTGATAGTAAAATAATCTGTTCTGGTTCAATCCAAATATCAAGAAACTGAAGCCGGAGCAAGAGGAATGTTTAGTAAATGTCATTGAGGCAAAGATGTTGTGGCTCTACTCCCCACGGGCTACGTTAGTGGCTAAAGCTAGGCTATATGCTAAAGCTAGGCTAAATTACAAATGGCTACATCTGATTGAATTATTATTATTATTTGTTTGAAAATTGTTTTATACTTTACATATTTCTGCTAACTGAAACTGTATTGCACCTTATTGAACTGTAATTTAATATAACAGATAATAATAATAACTTGCACTTTTATTTTAATGGTTTTTTAGTAGCCTGCTGTTTTTATTTGAATTCTATATTATTATGATGTAAGTTATATGATTGTATTGTCAAGGACTACAGGTGGGAAGAAGCTGGTGCTAAATCCAGTTCAGCATCTTGTTAATGCCACTGCACATGGTTCTTAATAAACTTCAAGCTAAGACCAGGCTAATATTAAGCTAGTTCTAGGATATTTTGGATTTTCTGTTCTAACTGGTTTTCCCGCTCTTTGTCATTGCAGACATGTTTTCCTGAAGCTCCAGGGCTGCAGCTCCTCTCTCCCTCTGCTCCTCCTCTGCTCCACCATGCCCCCCCAGCCTGCCCCCCTCCCCCACCTCCTCCTGCTCCTGCTGCTCCCCCGCTGCACCTCCTCCGTCCCCCTCTCCTCCTCTGTGGCGGAGCCTGGTGGTAGAACGGTGTACCGCGCCTCGGACACCTACTTCACTCACCTCACCGTCCACTCCAGAACCGGTGAAGTCTACGTCGGCGCTGTCAACCGGGTCCTCAAGCTCTCCACCAATCTGACGCTGCAGAGGAGTCACATGACCGGCCCCGTGGAGGACAACAACAAGTGCTACCCTCCCCCCAGCGTCAGAGCGTGTGCACACAGGTCATTCTGAATTACTCCTCTGTAAACCCCCAAAGTGTCCCAATCTGATCACGTCAAAGCTAACCTAGCATTAGCATGTGAAAACTCTGGTCCATGATCATCTCCTACATGTACGTCTGGGTCTTACCATATGTAAACTGGTCTCAGGTTGTAACCATGTGTGTGTCTCAGGTTGTAACCATGTGTGTGTGTGTCTCAGCTTGTAACCATGTGTGTGTGTCTCAGGTTGTAACCATGTGTGTGTGTCAGGTTGTAACCATGTGTGTGTGTCTCAGGTTGGACTGGTCTGATAATGTGAACAAGCTGTTGCTGGTGGACTACAGCGGGGACCGGCTGGTGGCGTGCGGCTCCATATGGCAGGGCGTGTGCCAGTTCCTTCGCTTGGACGATCTTTTCAAACTCGGAGAACCACACCACCGTAAAGAACACTACCTCTCCGGGGCTCGCGAGGCCGACGGGATGGCAGGTACAGACACCAACTGACGTCACACACACCAACTGACGTCACACACACCAACTCACGTCACACACACCAACTCACGTCACACACACCAACTCACGTCACACACACCAACTCACGTCACACACACCAACTGACGTCACACACACCAACTGACGTCACACACACCAACTGACGTCACACACACCAACTGACGTCACACACACCAACTCACGTCACACACACCAACTCACGTCACACACACCAACTGACGTCACACACACCAACTGACGTCACACACACCAACTGACGTCACACACACCAACTGACGTCACACACACCAACTGACGTCACACACACCAACTGAGGTCACACACACCAACTGAGGTCGCACACACCAAATGACGTCGCACACACACCAACTGACATCACACACACCAACTGACGTCACACACACCAACTGACATCACACACACCAACTGACGTCGCACACACTAACTGAGGTCGTACACACCAACTGACGTCGCACACACACCAACTGACGTCACACACACCATCTGACATCACACACACCAACTGACGTCACACACACCAACTGACGTCGCACACACCAACTGACGTCACACACACTAACTGACGTTGCACACACACCAACTGACATCACACACACCAACTGACATCACACACACCAACTGAGGTCACACACACCAACTGACGTCGCACACACACCAACTGACGTCACACACACCAACTGACGTCACACACACCAACTGACGTCACACACACACCAACTGACATCACACACACCAACTGACGTCACACACACCAACTGACGTCACACACCAACTGACGTCAGTTGCTGACGTCACACACACCAACTGACGTCGCACACACACCAACTGACGTCACACACACCAACTGACGTCACACACACCAACTGACGTCACACACACCAACTGACGTCACACACACACAAACTGACAACACACACACCAACTGACGTCACACACACCAACTGACGTCACACACACCAACTGACGTCACACACACCAACTGACGTCACACACACCAACTGACGTCACACACACCAACTGACGTCACACACACCAACTGACGTCGCACACACACCAACTGACGTCACACACACCAACTGACGTCACACACACCAACTGACGTCAAACACACCAACTGACGTCACACACACCAACTGACGTCACACACACACCAACTGACGTCACACACACACCAACTGACGTCACACACACCAACTGACGTCAGTTGCTGACGTCACACACACCAACTGACGTCGCACACACCAACTGACGTCACACACACCAACTGACGTCGCACACACCAACTGAGGTCGCACACACCAACTGAGGTCGCACACACCAACTGAGGTCGCACACACCAACTGAGGTTGCACACACCAACTAACGTCGCACACACACCAACTGACATCGCACACACCAACTGACGTCACACACACCAACTGACGTCACACACACCAACTGACGTCGCACACACCAACTGACGTCGCACACACCAACTGATATCGCACACACCAACTGAGGTCGCACACACCAACTGACATCACACACAACAACTGACATCACCAGACACACCAACTGACGTCACACACACCAACTGACATCACACACACCAACTGACATCACCACACACACCAACTGACGTCACACACACCAACTGACGTCACACACACCAACTGACGTCACACACACCAACTGACATCACACACACCAACTGACATCACCACACACACCAACTGACGTCGCACACACCAGCTGACGCCGCACACACCAACTGACATCACCACACACACCAACTGACGTCACACACACCAACTGACGTCACACACACCAACTGACGTCACACACACCAACTGACGTCACACACACCAACTGACATCACCACACACACCAACTGACGTCGCACACACCAACTGAGATCGCACACACCAACTGAGGTCGCACACACCAACTGACATCACACACACCAACTGACATCACCACACACACCAACTGACGTCACACACACCAACTGACATCACACACACCAACTGACATCACCACACACACCAACTGACGTCACACACACCAACTGACGTCACACACACCAACTGACGTCACACACACCAACTGACGTCGCACACACACCAACTGATGTCACACACACCAACTGACGTCACACACACCAACTGACGTCACACACACCAACTGAGACGTCACACACACCAACTGACGTCACACACACCAACTGACGTCACACACACCAACTGACGTCACACACACCAACTGACGTCACACACACCAACTGACGTCACACACACCAACTGACGTCACACACACCAACTGACGTCACACACACCAACTGACGTCGCACACACACCAACTGACGTCACACACACCAACTGACGTCACACACACCAACTGACGTCACACACACCAACTGACGTCACACACACCAACTGACGTCACACACACCAACTGACGTCGCACACACACCAACTGACGTCACACACACCAACTGACGTCACACACACCAACTGACGTCAAACACACCAACTGACGTCACACACACCAACTGACGTCACACACACACCAACTGACGTCACACACACACCAACTGACGTCACACACACCAACTGACGTCAGTTGCTGACGTCACACACACCAACTGACGTCGCACACACCAACTGACGTCACACACACCAACTGACGTCGCACACACCAACTGAGGTCGCACACACCAACTGAGGTCGCACACACCAACTGAGGTCGCACACACCAACTGAGGTTGCACACACCAACTAACGTCGCACACACACCAACTGACATCGCACACACCAACTGACGTCACACACACCAACTGACGTCACACACACCAACTGACGTCGCACACACCAACTGACGTCGCACACACCAACTGATATCGCACACACCAACTGAGGTCGCACACACCAACTGACATCACACACAACAACTGACATCACCAGACACACCAACTGACGTCACACACACCAACTGACATCACACACACCAACTGACATCACCACACACACCAACTGACGTCACACACACCAACTGACGTCACACACACCAACTGACGTCACACACACCAACTGACGTCACACACACCAACTGACGTCACACACACCAACTGACATCACCACACACACCAACTGACGTCGCACACACCAGCTGACGTCGCACACACCAACTGACATCACCACACACACCAACTGACGTCACACACACCAACTGACGTCACACACAACAACTGACGTCACACACACCAACTGACGTCACACACACCAACTGACATCACCACACACACCAACTGACGTCGCACACACCAACTGAGATCGCACACACCAACTGAGGTCGCACACACCAACTGACATCACACACACCAACTGACATCACCACACACACCAACTGACGTCACACACACCAACTGACATCACACACACCAACTGACGTCACACACACCAACTGACCATCACCACACACACCAACTGACGTCGCACACACCAACTGAGATCGCACACACCAACTGACGTCACACACACCAACTGACATCACCACACACACCAACTGACGTCGCACACACCAACTGAGATCGCACACACCAACTGAGGTCGCACACACCAACTGACATCACACACACCAACTGACATCACCACACACACCAACTGACGTCACACACACCAACTGACATCACACACACCAACTGACATCACACACACCAACTGACGTCACACACACCAACTGACGTCACACACACCAACTGACATCACCACACACACCAACTGACGTCGCACACACCAACTGAGATCGCACACACCAACTGAGGTCGCACACACCAACTGACATCACACACACCAACTGACATCACCACACACACCAACTGACGTCACACACACCAACTGACGTCACACACACCAACTGACGTCACACACACCAACTGACGTCACACACACCAACTGACGTCACACACACCAACTGACGTCGCACACACACCAACTGATGTCACACACACCAACTGACGTCACACACACCAACTGACGTCACACACACCAACTGACGTCACACACACCAACTGACGTCACACACACCAACTGACGTCACACACACCAACTGACGTCACACACACCAACTGACGTCACACACACCAACTGACGTCACACACACCAACTGACATCACCACACACACCAACTGACGTCGCACACACCAACTGAGATTGCACACACCAACTGAGGTCGCACACACCAACTGAGGTCGCACACACCAACTGACATCACCACACACACCAACTGACGTCACACACACCAACTGACGTCACACACACCAACTGACGTCACACACACCAACTGACATCACCCACACCAACTGACATCACCACACACACCAACTGACGTCGCACACACCAACTGAGATCGCACACACCAACTGACGTCACACACACCAACTGACGTCACACACACCAACTGACGTCACACACACCAACTGACGTCACACACACCAACTGACATCACACACACCAACTGACATCACACACACCAACTGACATCACACACACCAACTGACATCACCACACACACCAACTGACGTCACACACACCAACTGACGTCACACACACCAACTGACATCACCACACACACCAACTGACGTCACACACACCAACTGACGTCACACACACCAACTGACGTCACACACACCAACTGACGTCAGTTGCTGACGTCACACACACCAACTGACGTCGCACACACACCAACTGATGTCACACACACCAACTGACGTCACACACACCAACTGACGTCACACACCAACTGACGTCACACAAACCAACTGACGTCGCACACACCAACTGACGTCACACACACCAACTGACGTCACACACACCAACTGACATCACCACACACACCAACTGACGTCGCACACACCAACTGAGATCGCACACACCAACTGACGTCACACACACCAACTGACGTCACACACACCAACTGACGTCACACACACCAACTGACGTCACACACACCAACTGACGTCACACACACCAACTGACGTCACACACACCAACTGACGTCACACACACCAACTGACGTCAGTTGCTGACGTCACACACACCAACTGACGTCGCACACACACCAACTGATGTCACACACACCAACTGACGTCACACACCAACTGACGTCACACACACCAACTGACAACACACACACCAACTGACGTCACACACACCAACTGACGTCACACACACCAACTGACGTCACACACACCAACTGACGTCGCACACACCAACTGAGGTCGCACACACCATCTGAGGTCGCACACACCAACTGAGGTTGCACACACACCAACTAACGTCGCACACACACCAACTGACATCGCACACACCAACTGACGTCACACACACCAACTGACGTCGCACACACCAACTGACGTCGCACACACCAACTGAGATCGCACACACCAACTGAGGTCGCACACACCAACTGACATCACACACACCAACTGACATCACCACACACACCAACTGACGTCACACACACCAACTGACATCACACACACCAACTGACATCACCACACACACCAACTGACGTCACACACACCAACTGACGTCACACACACCAACTGACGTCACACACACCAACTGACGTCACACACACCAACTGACGTCACACACACCAACTGACGTCACACACACCAACTGACGTCACCACACACACCAACTGACGTCGCACACACCAACTGAGATCGCACACACCAACTGAGGTCGCACACACCAACTGACATCACACACACCAACTGACATCACCACACACCAACTGACATCACCACACACACCAACTGACGTCAAACACACCAACTGACGTCAGTTGCTGACGTCACACACACCAACTGACGTCGCACACACACCAACTGATGTCACACACACCAACTGACGTCACACACACCAACTGACGTCACACACCAACTGACGTCACACAAACCAACTGACGTCGCACACACCAACTGAGGTCGCACACACCAACTGACGTTGCACACACACCAACTGACATCAGATTCAGATTCATTTATTTTGCCATTTGCAGTAACACTACATTGGAATACATTTGTAAAAGTTCCCAGTGTGCACAGGACAAGTACAGACACAAAACAACATTAAAAGACAAAAATAAAACAAATTTTAAAAACAGTAAACAAATGTCACCGTGAAGTTGACCAACTTAAAACAGATCTATACGAGTGCAAAAACATTAAAGTGCTCTATTCAAACTGTTAACAGCTCGTGGAAAAAAACTATTAGCATAACGAGATGTCCTGCATCTCAGAGAACAGTATCTTCTGCCAGAGGGAAGAAGCTGGAACATGGCTTTTCCTGGGTGGCCAGAAGAGTCATTGATAATTCTCAGGGCACTGTTAAAAAGTCTGGATTGATAAAGAGCCTCCAGGACAGGAAGTTCACAGCCTACAGTCCTTTAGCAGAGCGGAGCACCTTGTTTAAAGCTCTTTTTTCTTTATCTGTGATGTTACCGAACCACACAGACACAGAACCAACAAGTAAACTCTCAATGGTGCAGCGATAAAAGTTCAGCAGAATCTTAGAGTTAGTGGTAAATTCTCTAAGTTTCCGCAGGAAGTAGAGACGCTGACGAGCTTTCTTTACGACCCAGTCAGTGTTTTTAACCCATTTCAGGTCATTAGACAGAGTTAGACCCAGAAACTTACACTCCTCTACAATCTGCACTTGGGAGTTATCGATTGCGACAGGCAAATGAGAACTATTGCGACTGAAGTCGTGACCAGTTCACATGTTTTGGATGCGTTCAGCTGGAGGTTGTTAGCCTTACTCCACTGAACCACGTTTTGGATCTCGGCTCTATAAGACGATTCATCGTTATTACTGATGAGACCGATGATGGTGGTGTCATCAGCATATTTGATGATCAGGTTAGAGTCTGAGGAAGACACACAATCATGAGTGTACAGTGTAAAAAGTAAAGGACTCAAAATACATCCCTGAGGAGAACCAGTGCTCACAGAAACAACATCTGAAAAACAGTCATTGATTTTCACTCTCTGAGATCTGTCTGTTAAAAAGCTATAGATCCATTTACACATGGCAACACTTAAGCCGAGAGACATGAGCTTTTCAATCAGTATACCTGGGACAAGACAATTAAAAGCAGAGCTATAATCAATGAACAGCATTCTTGCAACAGATTTCCTATTGTCCAAGTGACTGTAGACAGAGTTCAGAGCAAAGGAGATGGCATCCTCCACACTCCTGTTCTGTCTGTAGCAAACTGGAGCGGGTCAACACTCACAGGGATCTGGCTCTTAATGAAGTCCAGCACAAGCCGCTCAAAAGTCTTCATTAGGACAGAAGTGAGGGCCACAGGGCGATAGTCATTAAGGCATGTCACAGGAGTTTTCTTAGGAACTGGGATAATGGTCGACTCTTTGAAGCAGTTCGGCACAGTACAGTTCCTTAGCGACAGGTTAAAAATGTCTGTTAAAACAGGGGCAAGTTGCTCAGAGCACAGTTTCAGGACGCGAGGAGGGATGCCGTCCGGGCCAGGGGCTTTCCGGACAATGGTGCTGGACAAGACCCGCTGGACTGCCTCCTGAGTCACGGTGAACGCACCTTGATTGAGGCAATCAGGAAAGACAGTAGGACAGGCATCGGCAGATTCGAAGCGGCAGTACACACACACCAACTGACGTCACACACACCAACTGACGTCGCACACACACGTACTGACGTCGCACACACACGTACTGACGTCGCACACACCAACTGACGTCGCACACACCAACTGACGCCGCACACACCAACTGACGTCACACACACACCAACTAACGTCGCACACACCAACTGACGCCACACACACCGACTGACGTCACACACACACCAACTGACGTTGTACAAACCAACTGACACCAACTGACGTCACACTCAGACACACACCAACTGACGTTACACACACCAACGAGACCTTTTTTAGTTCTGCGCCACATGGTACTTTACCAGTGAGATTAGCTCCACCCGGTGAGTTCTGGCGCCCGGATCACAGACTTTCTGATTGGTGAAACGGTGGAGGGCGGGACATCAAAATGAAAACAATTGAAAAACAAGATTTAGGAGCTGAAGAAGTATTGGAATAGAGTATGGATTATGAATGCCTTTGGACAGATTAGGGCCCTTTAATGACATGGAAATCTTACATATTTCTACTTTTATAAAACTGTTATTAGTGATTATTAATTAGTGAGACAGTTCTTCATTCAGTCCTGACTGACAGCCTCCCCAGCTCGCTCCTCTCTCAGGCGGAGAATTTGAAACCTCTGCATCATGTGTTTTCTGCTCGCGTCACTTTGACTAAAGCGCTTTGTAGTTTTGATCCAATCTTCGCTCTAACGTCTAAATATTTACGTGGTTCGGGGAGAAAAGGCGTTTCTGCAGATTTTGGATGAAAATGAGAGAGAGCCACATAAAGATGATGGACGTGTCTGACAGAAGTGGGCCGAAGCCTCGCTGCCGGTGTTTTCACTCTACAGCAGCAAGAATATTCCAAGGCTTTAAAGCAGCAATATGTGAAATTAACAGGTCATTAAAGGGCCCTAATCTGTCATCATTAAAGGGCCCTAATCTCTCGTCATTAAAGGGCCCTAATCTGTCGTCATTAAAGGGCCCTAATCTGTCGTCATTAAAGGGCCCTAATCTGTCATAATTAAAGGGCCCTAATCTGTCATCATTAAAGGGTCCTAATCTGTCATAATTAAACTGCACTAAGCTGTCATAATTAAAGGCCCTAATCTGCCATCATTAAAGGGCCCTAATCTGTCATCATTAAAGGGCTTTAATCTGTCATCATTAAAGAACTCTAAATCTGTCATCATTAAATGGCCCTGATCTGCCATCATTAAAGGGCCCTGATCTGCCATCATTAAAGGGCCCTAATCCGTCATCATTAAAGGGCCCTAATCTGTCATCATTAAAGGGCCCTAATCTGTCATCATTAAAGGGCCCTAATATGTCATAATTAAAAGGCCCTAATCTGCCATCATTAAAGGGCCCTAATCTGTCATCATTAAAGGGCCCTAATCTGTCATCATTAAAGGGCCCTAATCTGTCATCATTAAAGGGCCCTAATCTGTCATCATTAAAGGGCCCTAATCTGTCATAATAATAAACTGCTCTTTTCCAATACTTCTTTAACTGATAACAGTAGTAATATAATAATGAAACTAACAATGACAGATGCAGACCTGGTGGAGATTCTTCGACATTAGGTACCACAGCTTTAACAATCCTCTGATGGTAAATGGCTGTGAACGCAGTGGGACTGGACCTGGTCAGACCCAAACCAGGGCCAAATCTATTACAGTTCTCAGTAGAATCTCTGCAGGACATCTCTTCAGATTGGTGTTTCTCTGTGGGACCAATCTGCTCCTCTGCAGACGGATCTCTCTACGGGACATTTTGTTAACTTCTGAAAATTAGGTTCGCAGCCCCCTAACGACGTCTGAAGATGCTAATTATGCTCCGTAGAAACCCGTGCTTACCATGAAGCCGCTTACATTTCTTATTTCAAGGTTGACAGGACTCATTGTTCAGAATCCAAGGTTACGTTTAAAGGCTTCTCTTCGGCTGATGTGTAAAAAGACGGTTTCTCACAGCTGTTTTTTCATTTCAATTCAATTTATTCTTTTATCGCCCTAAATCACAACATCTCAGAGGACTTAAAGTAGCAATATGTCAGATTTTCATGTAAAGTCATCATTAAAGGGCCCTAATCTGCTCTTTTTTTCAATACTTCTTTAACTGATTACAGTAGTTCAGAGATATTTGAATTTATAAACTAGAAACTTGCAATGGCTGAAGCCATTGCGATTGACTGCGGAACAGATCTAATGTGGAAATCTGCTAAAAAAAATCCTTGAAATCCTTTAAAAAGCCTTGAAACTGTTAAAATACTTGATAGATATTTGAAACTCCTGAAGTCCTTGAAATTGTTGAAACCTTTAAACTCCTGAAATCCTTGAAACTGTTGAAACATTGAAACTCCTGAAATCCTTGAAACTTTTTTAAACCTGGAAACTGTTGAAAGTGTGGAAACTCCTGAAATCCTTGAACCTCCTGATATCCTTGAAACTGGTTAAATTCTTAAACAGCTGAAATCCTTGAAACTACTGAATGTATTGAAAGTGTCCTTGAAACTGAAAAATCCCCTCACCGCTGAAACAATTTGGTTCCTGTAACTAAGGAAACCTGGTCTGTGGTCATTATCTGGTGGTGGTCTGAGTCTTCGTTTGGGTCTTGGTCTGGTGGTATAATGCAACCTATTAGGTTGCATTATACATGAAAAAACCCTATTAAGTTGCATTATACTGGTTTACATGGAAAAATCCCTATTAAGTTGCATAATACTGGTTTACATGGAAAAATCCCCATTAAGTTGCATTATACTGGTTTACATGGAAAAATCCCTATTAAGTTGCATTATACTGGTTTACATGGGAAAATCCCTATTAAGTTGCATAATACTGGTTTACATGGAAAAATCCCCATTAAGTTGCATTATACTGGTTTACATGGAAAAATCCCCATTAAGTTGCATTATACTGGTTTACATGGAAAAATCCCTATTAAGTTGCATTGTACTGGTTTACATGGAAAAAACCCTATTAAGTTGCATTATACTGGTTTACATGGAAAAAACCCTATTAAGTTGCATTATACTGGTTTACATGTAAAAACCCCTATTAAGTTGCATTATACTGGTTTACATGGAAAAATCCCCATTAAGTTGCATTATACTGGTTTACATGAAAAAAAACCCTATTAAGTTGCATTATACTGGTTTACATGAAAAAACCCTATTAAGTTGCATTATACTGGTTTACATGGAAAAATCCCTATTAAGTTGCATTATACTGGTTTACATGGAAAAATCCCTATTAGGTTGCATGATTACACTGAAGTCCTTGAAACTGCTGAAGTCCTTGAAACTGCTGAAGTCCTTGAAACTGCTGAAGTCCTTGAAACTGTTGAAGTCCTTGAAACTCTTGAAATCTTGAAACTGCTGAAATCCTTGAAACTGTTGAATCCTTGAAACTGTTGAATCCTTGAAACTGTTGAAGTCCTTGAAACTGCTGAAGTCCTTGAAACTGCTGAAGTCCTTGAAACTGTTGAAGTCCTTGAAACTGTTGAATCCTTGAAACTGTTGAATCATTGAAACTGTAGAAATGTCTGAAAGAGCTGAAGTCCTATTAAAATGCATGGGCCTATTAAAATGCATTGCAGAATTCTCAATGCAGATTTTTGTCCGATTGCGGAAAAACCGGAAATCGCTGAAGTCCCAAAAGTAATAGCAATAATCTCCCAAACATGTGGAACGTTTTGATGTATAACTTGTGGAAATTGTTGAAAATGTGAAAGCTGTGAAACGTGTCAAAAAAAACTAGAAACTTGCAATGGCTGAAGCCATTGCGATTGACTGCGGAACAGATCTAATGTGGAAATCTGCTAAAAAAAATCCTTGAAATCCTTTAAAAGGCCTTGAAACTGTTAAAATACTTGATAGATATTTGAAACTCCTGAAGTCCTTGAAATTGTTGAAACCTTTAAACTCCTGAAATCCTTGAAACTGTTGAAACATTGAAACTCCTGAAATCCTTGAAACTTTTTTAAACCTGGAAACTGTTGAAAGTGTGGAAACTCCTGAAATCCTTGAACCTCCTGATATCCTTGAAACTGGTTAAATTCTTAAACAGTTGAAATCCTTGAAACTACTGAATGTATTGAAAGTGTCCTTGAAACTGAAAAATCCCCTCACCGCTGAAACAATTTGGTTCCTGTAACTAAGGAAACCTGGTCTGTGGTCATTATCTGGTGGTGGTCTGAGTCTTCGTTTGGGTCTTGGTCTGGTGGTATAATGCAACCTATTAGGTTGCATTATACTGGTTTACATGGAAAAATCCCTATTAGGTTGCATTATACTGGTTTACATGGAAAAATCCCTATTAGGTTGCATTATACTGGTTTACATGGAAAAATCCCTATTAAGTTGCATTATACTGGTTTACATGGAAAAATCTCTATTAAGTTGCATTATACTGGTTTACATGGAAAAATCCCTATTAGGTTGCATTATACTGGTTTACATGTACAAATCCCTATTAAGTTGCTTTATACTGGTTTACATGTAAAAACCCCTATTAGGTTACATTATAGTGGTTTACATGTAAAAATCCTTATTAAGTTGCATTATACTGGTTTACATGTAAAAACCCCTATTAAGTTCCATTATACTGGTTTACATGTAAAAACCCTATTAAGTTGCATTATACTGGTTTACATGAAAAAAACCCTATTAAGTTGCATTATACTGGTTTACATGGAAAAATCCCTATTAAGTTGCATAATACTGGTTTACATGGAAAAATCCCCATTAAGTTGCATTATACTGGTTTACATGAAAAAAACCCCATTAAGTTGCATTATACTGGTTTACATGGAAAAATCCCTATTAAGTTGCATTATACTGGTTTACATGGAAAAATCCCTATTAAGTTGCATAATACTGGTTTACATGGAAAAATCCCCATTAAGTTGCATTATACTGGTTTACATGTAAAAAACCCTATTAAGTTGCATTATACTGGTTTACATGGAAAAATCCCTATTAAGTTGCATTATACTGGTTTACATGAAAAAAAACCCTATTAAGTTGCATTATACTGGTTTACATGGAAAAATCCCTATTAAGTTGCATTGTACTGGTTTACATGGAAAAATCCCTATTAAGTTGCATTATACTGGTTTACATGAAAAAACCCTATTAAGTTGCATTATACTGGTTTACATGTAAAAAATCCCTATTAAGTTGCATTATACTGGTTTACATGGAAAAATCCCTATTAAGTTGCATTATACTGGTTTACATGGAAAAATCCCTATTAAAGTTGCATTATACTGGTTTACATGGAAAAATCCCTATTAAGTTGCATTATACTGGTTTACATGGAAAAAACCCTATTAAGTTGCATTATACTGGTTTACATGGAAAAATCCCTATTAAGTTGCATTGCCTTTTGGTCTGGATTTTAGGAGTAAACAGGTTTTTATTCCAATTACCTGCTAAGCTTTGGCCTTTCTCAGTCTATTTCACTGCCCAACGGAAAAAAATCTGTTCTGTCCTGGTCTGGGATTTTGTTTAAAAATGGAGGTTTTTGGTCAAACTTTTGGAGCTTGGGATTTATGTTTATTTTTTTACTATATTAGGGCCATAACACATTGGGGGAAAAATAACTTGGGATCTGTTTTTTTTCATATCTGCCCCATTGTCCCATTCCCCAAAAACCGGTTACCAAAAGTAGGGAGAATGGGAGGATTTAGAATGGCCCATTATTGGTTTCTTTTTGTTACTTTGTTCCTTGTTTTGGGGGTACCCCATGGGGACTTTCTTGTTTAAAACCATATGGGAGCTTCTCAAAACCCAAATTGGGTTTTTAATCCTCGTGGGGGGGAGTGTCAAAGTGAAAACAACCATAAGCCCTGGCAGATAATTTTTTATATTTTGGGGGCCATACTCTAAAACTCGAGCAAAAAAAGGATTCTTTGCGAACAGCTCCTTGCAGTATAGCGTGTGTCTTTATTAGATTTTTATGTTTTGGAAAGGACTGTAAAAAAAAACGTTTTTGGAACACTAGTGATGCGTCGATTACCCTCTGGAGAACAATAACTTTTATCCAAAGGGACGTTTTTTGCAGAGGCGCTGAAAGGGACTGCCTTTGGGGTTGTTACGTGGGGGACTTTCGCCTTCTGATTCGGCCCCCCCAGAGCGTTGTTGAGTTAGAACTCCCCCCGCGTAAAGCCATTTTGGTTGAGTAGGTCCTGAAAGCTCTTCCCCATTTGGCTTTGGAGGTTGAGCCCCTGAGTTTGCACATTGTAGCAAACATGGGGGATTTCCAGGGATATGTTAGGGGCCTCTGGCTTGTTGTGTCTCGAAAAAAACGGTGAAACCCGTGTTTTTTTTTTTTTAGCAGATTCACGACGTGTTTAAGTTGGTTTGCTAGGTCAGCTAGTTCAGCTTGTGGACCCCAGGGTTGAAGGTTTCATTGCATTGGGTGAAAAAGTACCTTGGATCTGGGTGTGAATTTATTTCCTGGTTTACCCTTTGGAAAAGGGCCCCCAATTGTCCACTTGAACTTCCCGCGGGTGACTTTATGGCTGTTTAGTTTACTTTTTGTGATTGTCCGTTTTGGCGGGGGGAAGCCTTGCTTGGTTTCAAAACCGCATTTTTAACTTTTTCTTTTCACCAAGTTCTTTGTTTTTTTCGTAATGCACAGTCGGAGGTGTTTCATTAAACAAAATGTTCTTGTGCGCGTTCTCAAGGAAAAAGGGAGGTTGTTTTTTTCAGGAAACATGCCCAGTAGCTATGCCCAGGGACAAACTGCCACTTATGAAAACTGCTTCATCCAGCTGCTGCTTCTAGGACTTGAGCTGCCGCGAGCGCTGCATTCAGCTTCCACCCCTCCCAAACCTTTTCAAGGGAGCGTTTTAGTTTGTTGCCTCCAAAGGCGTGCCTTTCTCAACCTTTCTTATGACTATTTGGCGTTGGCGTTTAAACTGGGGACTCCGGTGCGGCAGTTCTGCGTCTTTTGCTCCGTGCTCTTGCTGCAACTTGGGACTGGTGTTTTTGACATGGCTTGTGCTGCCGTGGGGGACATGCACTCCGAAACCCTGAATTGCAAGCTGGGAAGGACGGGAATGCTGAGGACCCCTCTCGTTTGCTTAGCGGGGACCCCATCTTGAGGGCTTTGTGTATCTTTGGGGGACGTGAAGATAATCTTTTTTTACTTTGTATCTGGGGAAAATTCTGATTGTCGTCGGAACTGTAAAAATGTTTGTCCATTAAATAAACTGGAAACTGTCTTTCAGCAAAACAGGGTTAAGAGTAAGTGAATGAGGGTCCCCACAGAGATGCAGGCACACTGACGCGACGGGGATGCTTGTGTGTGTGTGTGTGTGTGTGTGTGTGTGTGTGTGTGTATGTATGTGTGTGTGTGTGTATGTGTGTGTGTGTGTGTGTGTGTCTGTTCTAATTAAAGTCTGGCTCTGAAGAGTTTAACAAGCTCAGGGCTAATCACCATTAACTCTGTCTCCTTTGTTCTTCTGACCTACTTTTACTAACCCAGTTCTGCCCAAAACCTGTACTACCAACACTGGTCTTACCGCACCATGGTACTCATTTCTATTTCAACAAAGGCACCTTTAATCACACACATCTGAGTTCATTTATGTTTACAGCGGTTTCTCTTTTCATGAGCACCGCACCGGTAAAAAATCTTGAAAAAAAAAAATGAAAATAAGATGCTGCTTTAGACCCAGGACTGATGCTGTAGACCCAGGACTGACTGAGGCTGTAGACCCAGGACTGACTGAGGCTGTAGATCCAGGACTGAGGCTGTAGATCCAGGACTGAGACTGTAGACCCAGGACTGAGGCTGTAGATCCAGGACTGATCCTGTAGATCCAGGACTGATCCTGTAGACCCAGGACTGAGGCTGTAGATCCAGGACTGAGGCTGTAGACCCAGGACTGAGGCTGTAGACCCAGGACTGAGACTGTAGACCCAGGACTGAGGCTGTAGACCCAGGACTGAGGCTGTAGACCCAGGACTGAGGCTGTAGACCCAGGACTGAGGCTGTAGACCCAGGACTGAGACTGTAGATTTAGGACTGAGGCTGCAGACCCAGGACTGAGGCTGTAGATCCAGGACTGAGACTGTAGACCCAGGACTGAGGCTGTAGACCCAGGACTGAGGCTGTAGACCCAGGACTGAGGCTGTAGACCCAGGACTGAGGCTGTAGACCCAGGACTGAGGCTGTAGACCCAGGACTGAGACTGTAGACTCAGACTACTAAGGAGAAACGATCATTCTATTTACGCCTCTTTTTTATTTTACGAATCGTAAACTTGTTCATATCTCGTTTCAGATCCGTGTGGACGGAGTGACAAGTTCCCAGAATGCATTGCTGTACGAGACTGTGAACGTGGTGGAGGGGAAGTCCATTCTGAGGGACATGGTGTTCAGTCCGGACCATCGCTTCATCTACCTCCTCAGCGACAAACAGGTGACGGCACTTTGGAAACGTCTGCGAACAAAAACAGTCAATAAAACACTGGGAAAACTAAGAAAATATGTTTAAAAAAGAGGAAATACTTTAAATACTTAATGCTTAGAATAATAAAAAGTATCTGTCATTAGAACAAGGAAATGGGACTAAATAATATTAGCCCCAAATGTCTTGATTCTAGTTTAAAAACATACATTATTATTATTATTTATACTAATTTTTTACTGATTTCTTAAACATTTTTGAGACAAGTTTTGAGGAATCTGACAAAACATACTACAAGCATTATTTATTTATTTTTAGTAAATACATCCTACCAAGATTTTACGGCTTTAGAGCTGCTTTAGACCTGCTTTAGTCCAGCTTTAGTCCAGCTTTAGTCCAGCTTTAGTCCTACTTTAGACCTGCTTTAGACTTGCTTTAGTCCTGCTTTAGACCTGCTTTAGTCCTGCTTTAGTCCTGCTTTAGTCCTGCTTTAGACCTGCTTTAGTCCTGCTTTAGACCTGCTTTAGACCTGCTTTCGTCCTGCTTTAGACCTGCTTTAGACCAGCTTTAGTCCAGCTTTAGTCCAGCTTTAGTCCTGCTTTAGACCTGCTTTAGTCCTGCTTTAGACCTGCTTTAGACCTGCTTTAGTCCTGCTTTAGACCTGCTTTAGTCCAGCTTTAGTCCAGCTTTAGACATGCTTAAGTCCAGCTTTAGACCTGCTTTAGTCCAGCTTTAGACCTGCTTAAGTCCAGCTTTAGACCTGCTTTAGTCCAGCTTTAGACCTGCTTTAGTCCAGCTTTAGACCTGCTTAAGTCCAGCTTTAGACCTGCTTTAGTCCAGCTTTAGACCTGCTTTAGTCCAGCTTTAGACCTGCTTAAGTCCAGCTTTAGACCTGCTTTAGTCCAGCTTTAGACCTGCTTTAGACCTGCTTCAGTCCAGCTTTAGTCTCTGGTCTAAAGTCCTGTAATCTCCGTCACATCAACACAATTCCACAGAGTCCGTGTCACAAACAGAGCCTTCATTCATAACAGACTGCCCCAAAGCACTCTGGGAAACGCGGTCCTCAGTCTGTGCCCCAAAGCACTCTGGGAAACGCGGTCCTCAGTCTGTGCCCCAAAGCACTCTGGGAAACGCGGTCCTCAGTCTGTGCCCCAAAGCACTCTGGGAAACGTCTGCCACTGTCCGATCTGCTGCAGGGCATTCTGGGAGACGGGCAGTGTAATAGTTTGTGACTCTGGGTCAAACCACAAACCGCAGGAAAATTAAATAATGAGGAAAACAAACACGGAGCAGAGGAGGAGACGGAAACGTGTTCGACTGTTCAATAAAGTTCTGTGGTTTGAATAACGAGGCCGAAAGTTGTTTGTAAACATTAGCTCATGTAAACAATAATTTATGTAAACGATAATTTATGTAAACAATAATTTATGTGAGGGCGATAGTGGCTCAGTTGGTAGAGAATTGGCCTTTGAGCCTGAAGGTCGTGGGTTCGAGCCCACCATACGACCTACTTCACGACTCCCACTGATGACTGCTGTCGTTGTGTCCTTGGGCAAGACACTTAACTCCACTTTGCCTGAAGCCCCCACTGAAAGATCTCAGCTCCTGTGGACTCAGCACCTGCAGGAGGATCAGTGAGGGGCTGGTGCTCTGACTGCCCCCCCCCGACCCAGAAATGTATTAAGGGGAAGAAAATGGATGGAATTATTTTATGTCAAAGCGTCTTTAGTAAAGTCGATTTTTTTCAGTGCGATCCTTTAGAAAAGTACTTTTGAGGGAAACATTTTGCTTTTACTTTATTATGTATTTTTGTCTGTAGCGACTTATGTCTTTGTGTTTTTATTCACAAATAAACTGTTTACTGTTTACATTCATTGTTAGAAATGTTTTTACAGTTGTTTTTACAGTCGTTTTTACAGTTGTTTTTACAGTTGTTTTTACAGTTGTTTTTACAGTCGTTTTTACAGTTGTTTTTAGTCGTTTTTACAGTCGTTTTTACCGTCGTTTTTACCGTCGTTTTTACCGTCGTTTTTACCATCGTTTTTACAGTCGTTTTTACAGTCGTTTTTACAGTCGTTTTTACAGTCGTTTTTACAGTCGTTTTTACAGTTGTTTTTACAGTTGTGTTTACAGTTGTTTTTACAGTCGTTTTTACAGTCGTTTTTACAGTCGTTTTTACAGTTGTTTTTACAGTTGTTTTTACAGTCGTTTTTACAGTCGTTTTTACAGTCGTTTTTACCATCGTTTTTACAGTCGTTTTTACAGTCGTTTTTACAGTCGTTTTTACAGTTGTTTTTACAGTCGTTTTTACAGTCGTTTTTACCGTCGTTTTTACAGTTGTTTTTACAGTTGTTTTTACAGTTGTTTTTACTGTCGTTTTTACAGTTGTTTTTACAGTTGTTTTTACAGTCGTTTTTACAGTCATTTTTCTAATTCATTTTTGAACTGTTGCAACTTATATTTATTTTTTCCTTCTTTATTATATATTTTTCAGCTGGTTTGACTTAAATATGTATTTTTCCTTATGTATTTTTGGCTACTGTGAATTTAGTTTTTTTCTTGTTCCTTATATATTTTTCAGCTGGTGTGACTTCTTCTACTCCTATAAAACCGTATATTAAAGATGATATTGTGGTGTTCTGTAGGTGACCCGTTTACCGGTGGAGTCCTGTGCCCAGTACGACGACTGCTCTGGGTGCCTGGGCTCCGGGGACCCTCACTGCGGCTGGTGCGTCCTCTTCAACAAGTCAGTACCACTTTACTATTTACTTTCTGCATTTTCATCTGTTTTAAAGACACATGTTTGTGAAATTAACCTTTTCTCTCTTTTAACCATGGTACAACATTCTTCCTCTGCAAAAATAGACCGAGAGATGTTTTTATCGTGATGATTTTTAGAGTTGTTTTTAGAATTATTTGCCCGGCCAATATCAGGAACTGCGCACGATAATGTCATAGTGATGAAATGGGTTTTTTAAAATTTATTTTTATTGATAGATATTGGACATAACATTATAAAGTAAACAGCCTCATTATGATTTTTGTTGGCTAAAAAAACGCATATTATTTATTCTTTAAGGACAACTAAACATCAAATCAACTTTTTTAACTCATAATCTGCATAAATATATTTCTTTCGCATTTTGTTGGATTTTGTTTTACATTTTGGTGAAAATTCGATCAAATCTGACTTTTGAGCCTAAAGCCTCTACGTGTGGCGCCCTCTCTACCTTTTCTGTGGTACTACATTTGAATTTTGTCCTGGTCCCTCCATTGACAAGCGAGCTGTCAATCACAGCCCAGACCACGCCCAAATGCTCATGTGGGCGGAGTCAGACTGGTCTTTAAACACAGAAATATTGAGTTTTAACCCATTCTCTCTCTCTTACTGGACATGTGGTGTTTTCAGGAATAAGACACAGTATAAATATATTCTTGACGTCTGAAGCTTCATTAAAGCCAAATATGAACATTTTCTTTGTTTTCTCGTGTTGTGTCTCATTAACCAGAGCAGAATTCACACTTAAATGAGGTGCATTAAAGAAACTCTGGGGAAACTTAAAGAGGTCGGTTCAAAGTTTCCTAAAAATGTCCCTCGAGGCGTCGTTATCCTTTCACCTTCGTAAATTCTCCTCCGGGGGTCGTTTAAGAATGTGTCCGGAAACATCCGTCTGTAGCTCACATAAAAACTTACGCTCTGATCTACACGATTATTTATCTATTTATTTATAAATACATGGTACTTTACCAGTGAGATTAGCTCCACGCAGTGAGTTCTGGCGCCCGGATCACAGACTTTCTGATTGGTGAAATGGTGGAAGGCGGGACATCGAAATGAAAACAATAACAAGATTTAGAGGCTGTAAAAATAATTTAGAAATTCAAATATCTTTGAACTACTGTTATCAGTTAAAGAAGTATTGGAAAAGACCAGTTTATTATTATGACAGATTAGGGCCCTTTTAATGATGACAGATTAGGGCCCTTTAATGATGACAGATTAGGGCCCTTTGATGATGACAGATTAGGGCCCTTTAATGGTGACAGATTATGGCCCTTTGATGATGACAGATTAGGGCCCTTTAATGATGACAGATTATGGCCCTTTGATGATGACAGATTAGGGCCCTTTAATGATGACAGATTAGGGCCCTTTAATGGTGACAGATTATGGCCCTTTGATGATGACAGATTAGGGCCCTTTAATGATGACAGATTATGGCCCTTTAATGATGACAGATTAGGGCCCTTTGATGATGACAGATTAGGGCCCTTTGATGATGACAGATTAGGGCCCTTTAATGATGACAGATTAGGGCCCTTTAATGATGACAGATTACGGCCCTTTAATGATGACAGATTAGAACCCTTTAATGATGAGATTAGGGCCCTTTAATGATGAAAGATTAGGGCCCTTTGATGATGACAGATTAGGGCCTTTTGATGATGACAGATTAGGGCCCTTTAATTATGACAGATTAGGGCCCTTTAATAATGACAGATTAGGGCCCTTTAATGGTGACAGATTAGGGCCCTTTAACTCACTGACTGCCAGGCATTTTCAGATTTGAGAAGTGCATTCTGCCAGCAATTTCAGGTGATTTGACCCAAATTTGAAGTGCCACAGAATATTCATTTTTTAGACGATGTAAACACCAAGGGCACCAAATTAAAGATTAACCTCTCTGCTTTACTCTGAAAAAAAACAGTTTGTTTCTACCTCTTACCGTTCTTGCGTTATTCGCCATAGAACAAAGCATACTTTCACCCATAACACCTGGTCTGAGCAAGAAAACAGAGAAAACGAGCTGTATGTAAACAGGAACATATCAAGCAGAAAAGAGACTTTTAGATGCATTTTTGCTGCTTTAGTGACAACTCAAAACATCTTCACATTTGTTCCATTACAAAAATTATAAAAACATGACTCTGAAATAATACTTTTGATGGCAAATTGTTGGCAATTTATTCACAGATAGAAAATTTAACTAAAATGTAACCAAAACGTCAAACAACAACAACACAAAGATCAATAAAACTATAGATGTATAAAATAGAATGAAGCATATGAATTTGAGTGTGTGTGTGTGTGTGTGAATGTCAGTGTGTGTGAATGTCAGTGTGCGAGTGAGTGTCTGTGTGTGTGAATGTCAGTGTGCGAGTGAGTGTCTGTGTGAGTGAGTGAGTGAGTGAGTGCGTGTGAGTGTTCGTGAGTGTGTCCGATAAATCATGATCAGGTTTGCTGAACGAATCCGAGGCATCAGTAACAACAGCAGCTGATACGCTGGAGAGGCGGAGGGTGTGTCTCTGCTCGGGGCTCTTGCTCCGCGCAAATGTGGCTGCAGAGACGGACCTCCACCGGGGGGAGACCCCGGCTCTCTCCCCTCTCGACCTCACTCACTGATCCGCGAGTCAATCTCTGAAGCAGTGTCAGCTGCTTATAACTATTCTTTTTCGCCATCACTCTTGCTATACTATCGCTAAACTAGATCGCTAATCTGTCTCAATGCTACGCTATCATCGCTCTGCTACAGCAGCACGCTGTCCAAAGACCCCACACTCCTCCTCCTCCTCTCCACTGACTTATGACCTCTCCTGTGGTGCAATACTGCATCCTACTGGTGGTGATTTATCATTACAGGTACATTTGCACTATATATGAGTGTTGTGGGTCATTCACAAGGTGCGCCAGACATTACTGCAGCCTCCCGTGTAATAACACGGAAAACTCGTCAAACTCGTCATGGGCAGTGAGCGTTACTATTCAACATGACGACTTTTGTCGTCATGGGCAGTGAATGAGTTAATGATGACAGATTAGGGCCCTTTAATGATGACAGATTACGGCCCTTTAATGATGACAGATTAGAGCCCTTTAATGATGACAGATTATGGCCCTTTAATGATGACAGATTACGGCCCTTTGATGACATTAATGTTGTGATTTGTGTTTTCTCTGCTGCAGATGTTCTCGGAGAGAGTCATGTGACAAGTTTGAGGAGCCGCAGCATTTTAACACCAAACTGGACCAATGTGTGGACGTCACGGTGTCTCCGAGCAACATGTCGGTGACATCACAGCCCACGCAGGTACTTCACCGGATCACCACCAGGGGCAGGAGAGCGTGTGATTTTTAGTTGCACAGTAAAAGTAACACTTTTGAAGATATAAGCCTGACCGCTTTCTATAAAAAGACATAAAAGTATAAAGGAGGATTTTCCCAAACTTTAGGAAATAACTTTTCGAACAAAACTCTTTGGTCTTTTTTTATGAGCACGTACGATGATTGACAAGTACAGCTCTGACTGCAGACGCTGCTCCCTCTTCACCACAACGGTCTGATACAGCTCTGACTGCAGACGCTGCTCCCTCTTCACCACAACGGTCTGATACAGCTCTGACTGCAGACGCTGCTCCCTCTTCACCACAACGGTCTGATACAGCTCTGACTGCAGACGCTGCTCCCTCTTCACCACAACGGTCTGATACAGCTCTGACTGCAGACGCTGCTCCCTCTTCACCACAACGGTCTGATACAGCTCTGACTGCAGACGCTGCTCTCTCTTTACCAAAACGGTCCAATGCATCGGCCGCATCACTGCACACGCTGCAAAGCCATAAACTGTAAATATAAACAGATGTAGTGACGCCTTTCTCCGCTGTTGAAACTAATGTGACATCACTATTGTCTTCTGTGGCTTTTTCAAAATGGCCGCGGGGCAGGAACATGTGGAAAAACACATTTGTGCATGAGTTATTCATTTAAAGAGTGCTTTCAAAAGTCCACAGCGACTTAACTAGACCGGTCCAAAAATTATGCTCGATAGCGACGTTTAGACCGAGCCACTTTGGGACCATCCTCTAAAGCCATTTTCGAGAGTAAGAAAGACCCCATACAAAAGCATCGGGTAATTCTCTTTCTGGGTACACCCCCACCAACGGCAAGGAGTGAAATTGCATCAGCGCTTGTGCTCATGGACCTTTTGGAGCCGGGACCCGCCCACACTGGAAATACACACTTTTCAGGGTCTTTTCAGTAATTCAGAAAACCCATCCATCCATTTTCTTCCCCTTAATCCATTTCTGGGTCGGCGGTGGCAGTCAGAGCACCAGCCCCTCCCTGATCCTCCTTTCAGTGGTGGCTTCAGGCTAGGGATGTAAATCGGTGACCGTTTAACCGGTGGTTGACCGTCACAGCGTTAACCGATCAAAGCTGTCGGTTAAAAAAAAGAAAAGGGGGAGGAGGAGGTCTCTTCATAACGCTATTTTAAGCCCTATTTGCACGATGTGACGAGCGGGTCTGTCTGTGTGCGCCAATGTATCAGTAAACTCTGGGCCGACTCTCATGCTGCACGCGCCACACGCACACACATTTCCCCCCCTCCATTGATAAGTAACATCCACACGCATCATCTCTCCCCTCTGTTACCGCCAAAGTTGCACACTGGTGCGGGTCAGAACTACATTGGAGCTTACATTTACACACATACATGTATTGTATACACACATACATGTATTGTACACACACATACATGTATTGTATACACACATACATGTATTGGACACACACATACATGTATTGTATACACACATACATGTATTGGACACACACATACATGTATTGTACACACACATACATGTATTGTATACACACATACATGTATTGGACACACACATACATGTATTGGACACACACATACATGTATTGTATACACACATACATGTATTGGACACACACATACATGTATTGTACACACACATACATGTATTGTATACACACATACATGTATTGTACACACACATACATGTATTGTATACACACATACATGTATTATACACACACATACATGTATTGTACACACACATACATGTATTGTACACACACATACATGTATTGTACACACACATACATGTATTGTACACACACATACATGTATTGTATACACACATACATGTATTGTACACACACATACATGTATTGGACACACACATACATGTATTGTGTACACACACATACATGTATTGTATACACACATACATGTATTGTACACACACATACATGTATTGTACACACACATACATGTATTATACACGCACACGTACCGGTCTGTCGCGCTCCTCTGTGTCACGCAGCCCAAAGGATCCAAATACACGGCTCCAGTCCAACCACATGGACCATGTGTGTGCTGCTGGTCCTTGGCATTAGACCAGCTCCACACGTCACTTGTATTTAAACTTCAGAGGAGACTTGTGAGACGCGGCTCGTCACTCGCTGCTCTGACCATGTGGACGAGCCGTTGTTTGCTGCTGAAAAGCTTTAACCCGCAGCACAGAAGTATGGAAAGATTAAAAAAGCAGTTCCCTGTGCGCAAAGGTGCCGAGGCTGTTGCGGGTTTTGGCGCCGCTGTCTCAGCTCTGATCAAGTAGAACGCAGAGCTGCACTTATGAGAAGTAGCCCCACTTTGCCTGAAGTAGGGATGTTAAGTGTCTTGCCCAAGGACACAATGTTTGTGTTGTCTTTTGTGATTTCTGCTCCCTCTGTTTCGTTTCTTTGCTCAAATCTGTTTTTCTGTGTTTCCAGCTGACGATCCGTGTGCAGAATGTTCCAGCACTTTCAGGGGGCGTGTCCTGTGTGTTTGATGACATCACTGAAACACCTGGTGATGTCACCGCTCGGCTCGTGACCTGCATGTCTCCGTCTCTCAGGGACCTCTCCCAGCAACACGGTATGTCAGACTCTAAACCCTGAAATGATTTGCAAATATCATGATTACAGTAACTGCCAGCATTGAAGGTAATCTGCTGCTATGGCATGTTATACTTCATTTTAAAGCCTAATGTCTCCGGAAAACTACCAACATTTAAAATATCTTTGTCTATAATATTCCTGATTAAATCTGTATTAGACAAAACGTTTTTGTGCCATCAGTGTTTTTAAATGTTTTTTTTTGTGTGTGTTTGGTTATAAATGTGTGTGTGTGTGTGTGTTTATAAATGTGTGTGTTTATAAATGTGTGTATGTGTGTTTATAAATGTGTGTGTTCATTAACGTGTGTGTGTGTGTGTCCAGGAGAGAAGCGGGTGGTGAAGCTGAGTCTCAGATCCACAGAAACCGGACTCAAATTTATCTCCACAGACTTTATCTACTACAACTGCTCAGTCCTCAACTCGTAAGTACTACAGGCATAATACATATACTGTATACATATACTCAACATACATACACATATACTGTACATATACATATACTGTATACATATACTCAACATACATACACATATACTGTACATACACATATACATATACTTTATACATATACTCAACATACATACACATATACTGTACATATACATATACTGTATACATATACTCAACATACATACACATATACTGTACATATACATATACTGTATACATATACTCAACATACATACACATATACTGTACATATACTGTATACATATACTCAACATACATACAAATACACATATACTGTACATACACATATACTGTATATATACATATAGATACATATACATACATATGCATATAAACTACATACATACACATATACTGTACATATATACATATACATACATACACATATACTGTACATATATACATATACATATATATACATATACACTACATACATATATACATACTGTACATTAGGGGTGGGAACCTAAGGGTACCTCACGATACGATACACGATACAAAGCTCACGATAACGATAATATCACGATATGACGATTATTGATATATTGGTCAGAAATTTACAATATGCCAATTTATAGCATAAATAAAAGAAAAAATACACTTTATTTCATGATAAATGGAATGGAGATGCGTAATGTAGCCATATATTAAGTATTGATACCAATTTTTAAAAAAAAATTGTAATAAAAAATAAATTTATTTTTTTATTTTTTATTGATATCGATACTTGGCAAATGCATATCGATAATCGAATCGCGGGAGAAAGTATCGCGATATATCGAAAAATCGATATATCGTCACACCCCTACTGTACATACCTTTCAAACTTACAAAATACTAAAACCATATAATAATTAGTTTGGGCGGCACGTTGGCTGAGTGGTTAGCACTCTCAGCAAGAAGGTCCTGGGTTCAATTCCAACCTCCAGGACCTTTCTGAGTGGAGTTTGCATGTTCTCCCCTTGTCTGCGTATGATTTCTCCGAGTGCTCCAGTTTCCCCCACCACTAAAAACATGTACAGTAGGTAAAACCCTCCATCTCTGGTCCAGACCCAGAGCAAGAACATCTGGAGCTGTTACTATGACGACCACTGCTCCTGATGGACGCCTTAGCAGCACCAGGGTCAAATGCAGAGGATGAATGTTCCGACATGGACAATCAAGTGCACATTTACATTTAGATTCTGGTTCTCCCGCTAGTTTTCTCATGTATTTTGGCCTTAATGGACCGTGAAGAAGAGGGCCGCCTTCTCTCAGCCAATCACAAATCATCAAAGTGTGGAGCCGTAATATTGTGTTGTGTGTTTGTCAGATGCACGTCGTGTGTGAGCAGTGAGTTTCCCTGTCACTGGTGTAAATATCGTCACATCTGCACCAACAACCTCCAGGACTGCTCCTTCCAAGAGGGGCGTGTCAGCGGCATGGAGGTAATGACATCACTCCTGCAGGTTACGCTGGTTTTAGCCTCTCCTCTCGGTTTGTGAAGCACGTTCAGCTTTGCCTTTCATTTCAATTCAATTCAATGTGTTTTCGTTCAGCCCTAAATCACAACAGTAGACATCTCGCAAAGTTAAATAAAGAAACCTAGCCCCGGCGATCCAAGATGGCGGCCAATTCAAATCTCAGTGCTGCATGTGTCGCCATGGGGACTGAGAGGTTAGAGGAAATTGTCCATATTTGGGCATTGTCTGGTCTTAGACTTAGACAGACTTTATTGATTCACAAGAACATCAGAGCAGGAGCCAAACCAGCAAAGTTTGTGGCACCAAAGTTTAGATTTATAGAAAACTGAAGGATTCAAGAAGAAAAAAGGACGACAAGAGACCATGAAATTTGACCTTTTATGAAAGCTCTAGGTTCTCTCTCAGGTTCTCTGTCAGGTTCTCTGTCAGCTGAGGTCGAGCTGTTTTAGTTTGCATTGAACACATTTTTCTGTGTAACATGACTTAAGTCTGTAGTACAACAGCGCCCCCTGTGGCCATTGGTGGGACAGCTAGTATTACTCTATCCAGTTATTATTATAAATCCATGTTATTATTATAAATCCATGTTATTATTATAGATCCATGTTATTATTATAGATCCATGTTATTATCATAGATCCATATGTTATTATCATAGATCCATGTTATTATAGATCCATGTTATTATCATAGATCCATGTTATTATTATAGATCCATGTTATTATTATAGATCCATGTTATTATTATAGATCCATGTTATTATCATAGATCCATGTTATTATTATAGATCCATGTTATTATTATAGATCCATGTTATTATTATAGATCCATATGTTATTATCATAGATCCATGTTATTATAAATCCATGTTATTATTATAGATCCATGTTATTATTATAGATCCATGTTATTATCATAGATCCATATGTTATTATCATAGATCCATGTTATTATAGATCCATGTTATTATCATAGATCCACATGTTATTATCATAGATCCATGTTATTATTATAGATCCATGTTATTATTATAGATCCATGTTATTATTATAGATCCATGTTATTATTATAGATCCATGTTATTATTATAGATCCATGTTATTATTATAGATCCATATGTTATTATTATAGATCCATGTTATTATTATAGATCCATGTTATTATTATAGATCCATGTTATTATTATAGATCCATGTTATTATTATAGATCCATGTTATTATCATAGATCCATGTTATTATTATAGATCCATGTTATTATTATAGATAGATTATTAGTATGGATTGGTCCACAGGGAGCAGGAGACCATTATCCATAAATGTGTGAGGAACGACAAAATAAAAACAAAAACCCGTGACCTTGGATCCTGAAACTGCGATGGGTGATTCAGGAGGAGAGGTGCTGGTTCAGTTCAAGTGCTGTTTGGATAAATGAGTTGAAATGAGACTTGGACCTGACCATAATGAGCCTAAGTCTGCCTCTTGTGTTCCTCTTAATGAGAGTGATTATCTGTAATGACTGTGATCAGCCTCTTCACCAATTAACGCTCCATTCAGGCCCTATTTCCACCGCGGCCACAAAACAGACGGATACAGTAGAACCAAACCAGTCTGCCTTTTTCACTGGACTCTCACTGCTGGAAAAATGTCACAAGAAAAAAAGTAAAACTAAGAATAAAACTGCAAAGAGGGGGAGAAAATGTCAAACCATTTTTCTAGTTTTCCGTAATCGTTTCCTCAATCATTTGGTGGATTATTTTTTCTTCTTGAAGCTTGGTTGGGACTATATAATTTTGTACGTCTACATCTTAGCTCCAAAGTGTGGTCTGATGAAGCTGTGGAAGAGCTGCATGCATGGAATCTACAGACTGGGACCTTTTCAGAGCTGCCACAGACAGCTTGGATGAATATACGGACACTGTGACGTCATACATCCACTTCTGTGAGGATAGCATCATTCCAACAAGGACCAGGGTCATCTATAACAACGACAAACCCTGGTTCACTGCTAAACTCCGGCAGCTCAGGAAAGCAAAGGAGTCTGCTTTCAGGGAGGGGGACCGCAGCGGCTACAAAGCAGCTAAATATCAGTTCAGGAAAGAACTGAAAGCAGCCAAGTCCCGGCACAGAGAACGACTACAGGAGCAGTTTGGTAACAACGATACTTGCTTCTGTCTGGAGGGGCCTACGGGAGATCACCAACTACAAACCCAAAGCCCCCCCCTGTGCTGATGACCACAAGCTAGCTGACGATCTGAACTTATTTTTCAGTCGCTTTGATGCTGCCCCTGACACCTCTCCCTCCCCCACCCCCCACTACTCTAACGACCCACCCATCAGCCCTGCCCCCAGCCTAACAATAGCCGCTAAAGAGATTAAACAACTCTTCCTGAGGCTGCACCCCCGCAAAGCTCCTGGCCCGGACCACGTGTCTCCGGCCACTCTGAGACACTGCGCCAGTGAGCTTACTCCTGTGTTCACGGACATTTTCAACTCCTCTCTGCAGTCCTGCCATGTCCCGGCCTGCTTCAAATCCTCCATCATTGTCCCCGTCCCGAAGAAGCCCAGGATCACAGGACTCAATGACTACAGACCTGTAGCACTTACGTCTGTCGTCATGAAGTCATTTGAACGCCTGGTTCTCTCCCATCTCAAGTCCCTCACCTCCCCCCTCCTGGACCCCCTGCAGTTCGCCTACAGAGCCAACAGATCTGTAGACGACGCCATTAACCTGGCCCTCCACCACATCCTACAGCACCTGGACTCCCCGGGGACCTACGCCAGGGTCCTGTTCGTGGACTTCAGCTCTGCCTTCAACACAATCCTGCCATCCCTGCTCCAGGACAAGCTCTCCCAGCTCAACGTGCCCGATTCCACCTGCAGGTGGATCACTGACTTCCTGACGGACAGGAAGCAGCGAGTGCGTCTGGGGAAGAATGTCTCGGACTCTCGGATTATAAATACAGGAGCCCCACAGGGCTGTGTTCTTTCTCCCCTGCTCTTCTCCCTGTACACCAACCACTGCACCTCCAGCCACGACTCCGTGAAGCTGATCAAGTTCGCGGACGACACCACCCTCATTGGACTCATCTCCAACAACGATGAGTCCGCCTACAGGAGGGAGGTGGACCGGCTGGTGTCCTGGTGCAGTGGTAACAACCTGGAGCTGAACGCCCAGAAGACAGTGGAGATGATTGTGGACTTCAGGAAGAGCACTGTCCCCCCGCCCCCACCCTCCGTGATGGACTCCCCCATCACCTCTGTGGAGTCCTTCCGTTTCCTGGGCACCACCATCACCCAGGACCTCAAGTGGGAGCCGACCATCAGCTCCCTCATCAAGAAGGCCCAGCAGAGGATGTACTTCCTGCGGCAGCTCAGGAAAGCCAAGCTGCCTGCACAGATGTTGGTGCAGTTCTACACGGCCATCATCGAGTCCATCCTCACCTCCTCCATCACCGTGTGGTTCGCTGGAGCCACAGTCAGGGACAAACAGAGACTACAGCGCATTGTGCGCTCTGCAGAGGAAGTGATCGGCCGCAGCCTTCCATCGCTGCAGGACCTGTACGTCGCCCGAGCTCGAGGCCGGGCTGGTCGTATCACAGCCGACCCCTCTCACCCTGCACATGGACTATTCCAACCACTCCCCTCAGGCAGGAGGCTGCGGTCCATCAGGACTAGAACCTCCCGCCACAAGAACAGTTTCTTCCCCTCTGCTGTTGGACTCTTGAACACTTCTTAACCTGTCCCCCCGCCCTTTATAAAGTCACTTTACTGCCCATCATACGTCACTTTACTTCACTGTACTGCTGTCACCTTACATTGTGTGCACCATGTGCACTTGTATATTGTAAATAGTAACTGTAACTCTATTTTAAATTTAAATTTATTCTTTAGAAGTGTTTTTTATTCTTATTTTTATTATCTCTTTTTGACTGTTGCACTGAGCCAAAGCAATTTCCAAGTCTGTGACCTCCCGTTACTTACGTTGGCAATAAAAATGATTCTGATTCTGATTCTGATTCTGATTCTGATCTTAGAAAAAACAGAAAAAAAATATTTAGATTGCTCTCTTTAAACATTAAAAGGTTAAAACTGGTTTGGAGTCTATAAAATCAGAGATGTCAGACTCAGGCCCGGGGGCCAAATCCGGCCCCGAGACCATTTCTAGAGGCCCCTGAAATTATTTGCAAATATCATGATTACAGTAACTGAAAGCATTGAAGGTAATCTGCTGCAATGGCATGTTATACTTCATTTTAAAGTCTAATGTCTCGCGGAAACTACCATATAATTGCATTTGTTCAGAAATATGATTAGAAGTTAAACTAATATTTTATTTTTTATCCAAACAGACTAGAAAATATTATTCAGACTCAATACTGTAAACAAAAATATGATTATTGTTATTATTATTAATAATGTTAATGTTAAAGATGATGAACCTTTGCCTCAAACCAAAATGACACCGGTGCCATGAAACATTAAAGGAGATCTTCCAGCGGCTGATCACTGATGGTTTTACTGGTCTGGGTTTGGGTCTGGGTCTGGGTCTAGGTCTAGGTCTGGGTCTGGGTCTAGGTCTGGGTCTGGGTCTGGGTCTGGGTCTGGGTCTGGGTCTGGGTCTGGGTCTGGGTCTAGGTCTGGGTTTAGGTCTGGGTCTAGGTCTGGGTCTGGGTCTAGGTCTAGGTCTGGGTTTAGGTCTAGGTCTGGATCTGGGTCTAGGTCTGGGTTTAGGTCTGGGTCTGGGTCTGGGTCTAGGTCTGGGTCTGGGTCTGGGTCTGGGTCTAGGTCTGGGTCTGGGTCTGGGTCTGGGTCTAGGTCTAGGTCTGGGTCTGGGTCTGGGTCTAGGTCTGGGTCTGGGTCTAGGTCTAGGTCTGGGTCTGGGTCTGGGTCTAGGTCTGGGTCTGGGTCTAGGTCTAGGTCTGGGTCTAGGTCTGGGTTTAGGTCTAGGTTTAGGTCTGGGTTTAGGTCTAGGTTTAGGTCTAGGTTTAGGTCTAGGTTTAGGTCTAGGTTTAGGTCTAGGTTTAGGTCTGGGTCTGGGTCTAGGTCTAGGTTTAGGTCTAGGTTTAGGTCTGGGTTTAGGTCTAGGTTTAGGTCTAGGTTTAGGTCTGGGTTTAGGTCTAGGTTTAGGTCTAGGTTTAGGTCTGGGTTTAGGTCTAGGTTTAGGTCTGGGTCTGGGTTTAGGTCTAGGTTTAGGTCTAGGTTTAGGTCTGGGTTTAGGTCTAGGTTTAGGTCTAGGTTTAGGTCTGGGTTTAGGTCTAGGTTTAGGTCTGGGTCTAGGTTTAGGTCTAGGTTTAGGTCTAGGTTTAGGTCTAGGTTTAGGTCTAGGTCTGGGTCTAGGTCTAGGTTTAGGTCTAGGTTTAGGTCTAGGTTTAGGTCTAGGTTTAGGTCTAGGTCTGGGTCTAGGTCTAGGTTTAGGTCTAGGTTTAGGTCTGGGTTTAGGTCTAGGTTTAGGTCTAGGTTTAGGTCTAGGTTTAGGTCTAGGTCTGGGTCTAGGTCTAGGTTTAGGTCTAGGTTTAGGTCTAGGTTTAGGTCTGGGTTTAGGTCTAGGTTTAGGTCTAGGTTTAGGTCTAGGTTTAGGTCTAGGTCTGGGTCTATGTCTAGGTTTAGGTCTAGGTTTAGGTCTGGGTTTAGGTCTAGGTTTAGGTCTAGGTTTAGGTCTAGGTTTAGGTCTAGGTTTAGGTCTGGGTCTGGGTTTAGGTCTAGGTTTAGGTCTAGGTTTAGGTCTGGGTTTAGGTCTAGGTCTAGGTCTGGGTCTAGGTCTAGGTTTAGGTCTAGGTTTAGGTCTGGGTTTAGGTCTGGGTTTAGGTCTAGGTTTAGGTCTAGGTTTAGGTCTAGGTTTAGGTCTAGGTCTGGGTCTAGGTCTAGGTTTAGGTCTGGGTCTGGGTCTAGATCTAGGTTTAGGTCTAGGTTTAGGTCTAGGTTTAGGTCTAGGTTTAGGTCTAGGTTTAGGTCTAGGTCTGGGTCTAGAACAGACTAAATCCATCCTGAGAAAATGACTGAACCCAGCCCCAGCGTCAGTAGAAAGATTCTAAATGGTAAAATGAACGAATCAGATGTTTTTCCCACATCTGACGTTTCCTGATTCAGATCAAAGATAATGTTTACACAAAAACCACATTTTCTACTTTTTGTTTTGTTTAATGAAGAACTAGAAACTGAGAAACTGTTTTTTGTAATGTTTTTACTCAAATGTGAGAAAGTCAAAGCAAACCTTTTTAGCACTTTGAGTTGCCTTGTGTATGAATTGAACAAAGTAAACGTACCGGAGTTAGCTAAATTAAGCTTGTTTTCGTGGCTAGTCCTGTAGACAGAAGTTAAAGCCGGGCTAAAATTAAAAACAAATGAACTTTACATATCTATAATGTTATGATGCAGATTATTTTGAATTGTCATTTTATCGATAACATACTAATCTTGTTTCTGTATTTTTAACCCTGTTTCATGTTTGTACTTGTCTGGTGCACACTGGGGACCTCTGCAAACGTGTTCCTCTGTGGTTTTAATGAATCTGAATCTGAAAACCAGCAGGAACCATGAAACTTAAAAAAAAGAGAAAAGCATTGATGGTCCCTGAATGTGGCCTTCAGGGACCGTCGTAAACAGCAGTTCATGGACCCGTGTCCTTCGCCTGGTCACGTACAACTGTTTTTACACAAACACATGAGAAAGAAGCAAATCAAATCCTAGAAAAACACTGTTTTTGTGCGTTTTTAAAGTATTTTATTGAAAAGAAAAAAAGTAACAAAATATTTTATTACGTTTAACAAAAAAGGCAGTAATTAGTCAATAGTTAACTCTTTATAAGTATGTATTTAGTGTCTTACAAACAACTACCCACAGTGCAAAGCCAGATCCTGTCAGACCCCTGAAGCTAAGCAGGGCAGGGCCTGGTTAGTGCTGGGATGGGAGACACGGCTCCTGAGCAGGAGTCGGGGACCACAGTCAAAGATCACATATTGTTCTTTAAAGTCACCGTAGATTTAAAAAACAAAAATCTACGTAACATGGGGTTAAATTAAAGTGTTTTCTTCTTCCCACTCCTCTTCAAGCATCCACAAGTATTACGTTAGTATTATTACTCATTTGTTATAATTTTTGGTATTTATTTTTGTAAATGTACATAAGTTGCTTTTGATTAATTTGCACTAATTATTTCTGTGCCCATTTACTTTCTCAAAATAGATACATGAATAAATAAACAGATCGGAGTAAAAACTACACCGTGTAGCTTTAAGCCTTTTGCTGATTGTTTTTCAAAACTCCCTTTGTGATCCACAGAACTTAGTGATTATCCAAAGAATCGTTGATCTCAGCCATAGTGTAGAAGATTCCCAAAGTGTGACCGTGTGTGTAACCATGTGTAACCATGTGTAACCATGTGTAACCATGTGTGTGTGTCTTGCAGGGCTGTCCACAGATCCTTCCAGCGGGGGACATCCTGGTCGCAGCTGGAATGGTGCGTCCGATCACGCTGAAGGCCCGGAACCTGCCGCAGCCTCAGTCCGGGCAGAAGAACTACGAGTGTGTGTTCCACATCCAGGGCCGGGTCCAGAGGATCCCTGCGGTGCGGTTCAACTCCTCCTGCATCCAGTGCCAGAACACATCGGTGAGTCGCAGAGTGTCCTGGCTCAAAAGCACAACACACTGTTATTTAGTATCGTTTATCAGAAATGTTAGACATGAGATTGTTTTCAAATTCTCATAATCACACTTTTCTGGTTTGAGGTGTGTGCTCCGTGCTTGAAGAACAAATAAAATGCAGAAAACTGTAATTGTGTGTTTATGAAAGAGGATTTATAGAAGAAGACTGTCTTTTATTCATCGCACAATGAGGAAATCTCAGCTTGATGCATATACATATATATACACATACACACATACATACACACACACATACACATACACATACATACACATACACATACATACACATATATATACAGATACACACATACATACACACACACATACATATACACACATATACATATACACACATATACATATACATACATATACACATATACATACATATACACACATATACATATGTATACACATACATATACACACATACATACACATACACATATACATACATATACACATACATACACACATATACACATACACACATATACATATACACATATACATATACACATATACATACATATACACACATATACATATGTATACACATACACATACATATACATATATATACATATACACATATACACATATATACACATACACATATACACACATATACATATACATACATATACACATATACATATACATACATATACACATACACACATACACTTCAATGCAAGCAGCGAACATCCCTTAGGCGCTCCTTAAAGGCAAAGTGGTTTAAGTGTCTTGCCCAAGGACACAACGACAACAGACATCAGTGGGAGTCGGTGGAGAAGGTCTCACGGAGGACTCAAACCCACGACCTTCAGGCTCACTGTATATATATAAAAATATGTAAATATGTGACATCAGCACAGGGCGACTGCAGACCCCTGTGGACACAAGCAGTTTAAAGGGTTTAAATGAGGGTCAAAGCTGCATTTTTCATTCATAAAAACTGTTCGGTTGTTCCAAAATCTTGTCAAACAAACAGCAGATCTTAGGTCATCTGGAAGAGTAAATATAATTAAACACAATATTATATTAAATGAGAACACTTTGGAAACACATTCTTAATATGCTGTACTGTTCTTTATTATTATTTTGTTTATTGCATTATGCGTCTGATGTTTGCTCGGTTGTAAGTCTTCGTCAGGAGAATCTAAAGTGTGTGCAGAGAGGGAGGTCTGGGCTTTATCCACCGCCCTCTTCTCTGCCCCGCCCCCTCAGTGTGTTAGCTTAAACAAGATGCTAACACTACAGGTACGTTCTTCTTCTTCTCGTTTTGGTCTTTGGTGTCTACATCTCTGTCAGTCTGTTGTAGATCGGTTTTCAGGGCCTCGTTCTCGGCTTTGGACTTTCAGTTTGGTTTTAGTCTCTGCAAGTTCACCCTCATTCTTCAGGGGTTGAACTCAGTCTTCCATGTGGCATTTCTTTGCCTGGTCCAGCTTTGTCTTGTGTAGTAATCTCTAGGTTCTGGATCTTCTGCGGCTTAGCAAAGTCTGAAGAGTTTGTCGAGAGGGAAGTTTGGGCCACATGGCAATGGATGAAGCGGAAGACAGGGATGGATGGAAGTAGTGGCTAGAACATGGTTAGATTGAATCATTCATTGATCTAAACCATCATCCCAAAGTATCGTGGCTAGATCAGAGAAGTTTCCTCTTTCATTGGCGCAGGTTTCTTGTAAATGCACAGACGGCCTTACCCTGCACGCCTGAAAGAGGAAAACCGTCTCTCATCTCTCCATAAACTTTGGTTCGGTGACTTTAGACCATGTTTGAGTCAATCTAATCTACAGTTCTAACCCCCCACTTCCGCTCCTCTCTGCCCCCGCCCCCTGAGTGTGTCGCACCTCAACCCGTTAGCTTAAACGAGTCAAGATGCTAACACTTCCGCGATGTTCGGAGGTAATTACTCCCAACACTTCCACCACCTCCTCTTCTTCTTCTGCTTCATCTTCTTCGTGTCTTGCTCTTCCTTGTTTTGGTCTTTGGTCTCTGCGTCTCCGTCAGATTCTTGTAGACGGGTTTTCAGGGCCTCATTCTCGGCTTCAGACTCTTTCAGTTTTCTTTTTGTCTCTTCAAGTTCATCCACAATCTTCACGTTTTTAAGCGCCTCTTCGATGCGGTAGTTCTCCAACTCGTCCAGTTGCTGCTCGAGATCCTTCTTGGACTTTGCGAGTTCAGATTCCAGTTTCATATTTGTTTCCTCAGCTTCTAAATGTTGCTGCTCTGCTTCGTCCAGTTGTTCTTGCAGAAAAATTGTGGCGTTCTCGATGTCCTCAACCTGCATCTTCATATAAATGTTTTTCTCAAAGAGGCCTCCCACATATTCGTTGACCTTTTTGCGAGCCTCTTGAACCAAATCCTTGAACTCCTTGTCCTTTTTCTTGAGCAGGTCCTTTCCAAACTCGATGAGGGCGTCTCTTTGCTCCAAGAACCCCTTCAGTTCATCTACTTTTCTCTGCAGGGAATTCCTCTCTAGAACACTGTGTATAAGTCCCAGTTCCTGCTGCTTCAGTTCCTGTTTCATCTTGGTCATTTCTGCCTCGAGTTTCACATTTCGAATCTCGTCTTGCAGATGTTGCTGGTCTGCTTGGTCCAGCTGGTCCTGCAGATAGACCTGGTTTTCCTCCAAGTCCTCACAGCAATTCTGAAGGTCCATCTTGTCCTTCAACAGGTTCGACACGTAGGCGTTGACCTCGTTGCGGACCTCCCGAGCTAGATCCTGGGCCGCTTTGTCCATTTTCTGGAGCAGATCTTTACCAAAGTCGATCGGGGCGTCTCTTTGCTCCAAGACCTCCTGGAGCTCATTGACTTTGGCGTCTCGCTCGTGGATCGTCTGCTCCAGCTCCTTCAGTCTCTGCTTCTGTTCAGCGTTGACTTTCAGCTGCTCTTCCAGGGTTTTCTCGACCTGAAGAAGGCGAGATATGTCTTTGTGAACATCCATTACCTCTTTGTTACCGTTTACCTCGGTGTGTGTGTAGCTAGTGCTAATCTCAACTTGTCTCGTGTACTCTCTGGGTCTGCGTTCTGTGGTTACCCTAAACCCACTTTGGTGAATCCAGGGATGACATCACTAAGTTCCAAATGTCACATCCAAAGGGTTCGCCATGGCAACGGAAGCCTTTGCAGATCAGATAAGACATTTACAGGGTTGCTATGGATACAGGCCCCAAGGTTCTCAGAGCCAATATTTACCTTATTCAGTTTAATATTTAAAGTAGTACTAGAAGTTAATATGCTGCTATCCAGAATATATAACTACAATATGTGTTTATATTATTTATGATATCAAGTAGAGTTAGCTAACTTGCCCAACACTAATTAGCTTGAATCTCACAAATAAGGCTAAAAGGTTAAAAGAGTTGCACACTATTATGTACAAAACTGATGAAAATATGTTTATACCTTGTTCAGATGACAGTGAAACCTCCTACAGATTCAGCCCAGACTGCTGCTGCTGCTGTGAGAGGTCCTTCTCCTACGTCATCGCCGCCATTTTGGCGCCCCCTAGCGTTTGTGAAAAGGTGCCACTTCAAAGCTGTTTTTTTAACATAATTCATCTGAACATATCAAAATGAACACCCGAAATATTATAAACACATATTGTAGTTATATATTCTGGATAGCAGCATATTAAATTCTACTACTACTTTAAAGACTTTATGCCGGGTTTGATTTATTTAGAAATACAGTTTTAATACCATTTTATATTAGAAGAGAACTACTAAAGGTTTCAAAATCAGTTGTTGTTTTTTTGTCTGATCCCCCCAAATCAAAATAACCCCATAGCAACGCCCTTAGAAACGAAAAAACTTCACAGCCCTTGGTGACGTCAGAGTGGGTACGTTTCAACGCTGTAAGTTGTTTACAATTTGGTATTCGTTCTTTTTTCGCGGATATTCACTGGACTCTGTTGAGGCAGTGGTTGAGAGGTGCATGGGGAGAAAGGTCCAGGCCATCCTTAGTAACTCCAGGCACCCTCTGCATGGGACTCTGTCTGCTCAGAAGAGCAATCGATCGGATCGTTTCCTCTCCGTATACAGCAGGACTGAGCGCTTCCGGAGATCCTTCATCCCTGCTGCAATTCGATTTTATAACGGTCATCGCTGATGTAAATGTGTGGGGGTTTTAATTTTTTTTATTATATTTATATGTATTGTCTTTTTTATCCGCTGTTTTGCTACTAAGGACAACTGAATTTCCCCTCGCTGGGATGAATAAAGTATTTATCTATCTATCTATCAAGATGACAAGGTCGTGTACAGCGAGTCTGACATAAATACTAGATTGTAACTCTTCGTTGACACTGAGATAGTCCAGTGGTTGTGTCGATGGACTGTCAATCCAGACACTGGGGTTCAAATCCCACCTCAGACACTTTTTCGGCAATTTATGTGTAGTGAGCAATTGTCACCTGTAGAGGGCAGTATTGTGTTGGGCATCAGTGGAGAGAAGAGAGAAAGGCAGTCCTGTGGCATAGATCCATGGTTTTCAATGCATGGGCGTAACCCGCTATGACGTCACACACAGGTTAGAGCATAGACAGCTTAAATTCATGAAAAACACGTTCTTTTTATAAAATATAGGATTTTTTTTGCCGGAATCTCTTTCAGATTGACATTGTCATGCAATTTTGATATCCACATTGTTTTTTTTTTAAACCCGGCATAAGGTCTTTAACAATCGAATGCCAGTCCTTTATACTTTGAGGAATGAAAAATTAATTTGATCCACAAATTGATTTTAAGCTGCATCAAAAACATTGACACTGTTTTAAAAACTGTTTTAAAAAAATACTAACAATTCTTCCAGTTGTCCAAACTCACGTCGTTTAAATGCGATAAAGATATAAAAAAAAACATAAAAAATGCGTGATATGCATATGTATGGATGTTTTTAGGTAGCAGTCTCCTTTTTGATGTATAAATTATTTGTATGGCACGGGAGGCTAAACTAAACAGGTTTCAAGAAGCAATATGTTTGGGTTTTTTCACTTTTTAATAGAATTTAATTTGTTATGTTGGTTTCTGGGGCGACAGTGGCTCAGTTGGTAGAGCATGGTTCTTTGAGTCTGAAGGTTGTGGGTTTGAGCCCACCATAAGACCTACTTCACAACTCCCACTGATGACTGCTGTCATTGTGTCCTTGGGCAAGACACTTAACCCCACTTTGCCTGAAGCCCGCGCTGAAAGATCTCAGCTCCTGTGGACTCACCACCTGCAGGAGGATCAGTGAGGGGCTGGTGCTTAGTGTACTGGGTGCAGCTCTGACTGCCACCCCCCGACCTAGAAATGGATTAAGGGGAAGAAAATGGATGGATGTTGGTTTCTGTCTTCGTTTCTGTTTTGTCTATTTTTGGCAAGACTGTTTTGGTTTCTGTCTGTCTGGGATCTGCAAATGTTTTTTTGTTTATCAAAGAATGACACGTATTTATTCAAATCCAGTACACAATCCTTTATTCACACTTCTGTATGTTTGAATTCAGAACATTTTTCCCATTTGTCCCACTTTCATCTAAAATAGAGCAGTCCACGGATCGGACGGACAGTTTAAGATTAACACTGTCATTGACTGATTCATCGGTCAGTTGAAAATGTAGACAGTGTTTTATTGAGCCAGCAGGGGGCAGCAGAGCTCTGGGGGTGTCTTGGTCAAAGATCACTGAGCTCTGTGTGGGAGAGACAGAGGTGAAGGAAGCATGGAGGAATACAGTCAGGGACAGGTAACATTTGGAGGCAGTTTGACCAGTAAATGTGTCTCTACTGTAGAGCAGACGAGACCATGTGGACAGAGACCATGTGGACAGAGACCATGTGGATGGTCAGAGCAGCAGACGGAGACCATGTGGAGGGTCAAAAACTATTAGCACCAGGAGCTAGCGGTAAAGTCCAGTTATGGTCACAGCGCTGTCTGGACTTGCGCTCAGTAAGATTAGCAGAACTCGCCCATATTTGGTCATTTCTCTGGTCCTCCTGGTTCTGCGCAGTGGACGAGCTCCCATGATTCTTTGCGCCAAATACGCTGATCAGAGCGGGAGGAAAACGAGCAGAGTATGTTGTATTAAAGAGTGGATTTATAGAAAACTGAAGGATTTTTAAGAAAAAAAGTAACCCACAGAATCTAAAACTGTAGGTTCTCTGTCAAGTTCTCTGTCGGGTTCTCAGTCAGGTTCTCAGTCAGGTTCTCTGTCGGGTTCTCTGTCGGGTTCTCTGTCAGGTTCTCTGTAACCTGAGGTCTGTTTTAGTTTACATTGAATTCTATGGGACATATTTCTGGGTAACGTGAATTTCGTCTGCAGTACCACAGCGCCTCCTGTGGCCATTGGTGGGACAGCTATAAGCCACAGGCCATTCTCTATCCAGATATTATTATAGGTCCATGTTATTGTAGATCCATGTTATTATTATAGGGCCATGGTGTCCAGCCTCCTGACCTTGAGCTAGCGTCCTTGTAGCGCCTGACGTCACTGAAACATGTTTGACCAGAGCTAGCCGTTACCGCGGGGCAGAGGCCACGTCCTGTCAATCATCTCATGCGACTTCCACGCGGTCGGGGTCAGAGGGCACAGACGGGGTCAATGTCACAGACAGGAACTCGATCAGAGACGGATTAATGCTGCGCCGAGAGAAAGATGTAGTGCGATTTAACAAGACTGAAGTCATTGTTTAAACGGGTTAACGGGAAAATCAGCAGCGCACTGAGGACTCCAGCTCTCAATGCACCACACGGTATTATTACAGACTATAGGCCGGCGGCACGCTGGCTGAGTGGTTAGCACTTTCGCTTCTCAGCAAGAAGATCCTGGATTCGAATCCTGGTCGGGAACAGGATCTTTCTGAGCGGAGTTTGCATGTTTTCCCTGTGTCTGCTCTGGTCTGTGCCTCCTGTACTGGCCCCTCCCATCTCTGTGTGGAGAGAGACTAATGCACACAAACGTAAACCGCTTTGACTCTGGTCTGTGAAAGGCGCTATATAAATAAACATGACTTACTAACTTAAAACCATGAACACTGAACTGCAGCAACATCTCAGGCAGAAAAAAGAAATAAAAATAACAATCATAAAACACAAAACAACAGTTTCAGAGACACCCAGAACCTTTTTAACCTTTTATTAACCCGGAGAGTCTCATTAAGAACTCCCTCTTTTTAAGGTAGTCCTGGACAGATGTGTTTTCTGTTGTTCACATCAACAAAGAAGAATGAAAAATGAAGAATGAAAATTTGAATCATTTTGATTTTTCTTAAATGTGTTGATTTTGGGTTCCTCAGCTTTTTATTCTGCCTTTTTTTTGGAATTTTATATAAACTTGTAAAACAAATACTCAAATAAAACTACTACTGCTACTACTACTCTTGATACTACAACTACTACTACCACTGCTACTTCTACTGCTGCTACTACTACTACTACCACTGCTGCTACTACTACCACTGCTGCTACTGCTACTACTACTACTACTACCACTGCTGCTACTACTACTACTACTACTGCTACTACTGCTGCGACACAGACAAAAAAAAAATTAGAAAAGGATAAAATAAGCAACAACAAAAATAGTTATAGCAGTGACTGGCTGTGTAAACGTGTAGATTCAAGATTCATTTCAGACTCAGACCAGACTCACCTCAGGACCAGACCAGACCTGGCTGGTATCAGATGTGATCTAAGATGCGGTTCTTCCCGTCCTGGTCTAATGTGCGTCTGTGAATCGCGGGTTTCCGGGCACAGCTGACCCCATGGCGACAGGGCCCGCCGTCTCCGTGGCAACACCGGCTTTGCCTCCTTGGCGACGGGGCCTGGTCTCCACGGTGACGGGTCCAGCTCAAGTCTCAGCTCGGCGGGAAGCTCACTCCGGACTCATTAGACCGAGCTGCCGTCGCAGACCTGACTGAAGGCTGTGTGCGGGAAATGGAGGAAGGTTAAATCATAAAAATTATTACAATCAGAACAATCAGGACTCATTTGTTCAGAAATTACGCTGTTTTGGTCGTTTTTGAGACTGCAGTGGTTTTGGTTTTTAACGGTCTTTAAACATGTTTTTACTTTTCACATTGTGACATCTTTGAGCCGCTTTCATTCAGTTTATGCGGTTCATGCGAGGCAACACAGGAAGACTCTGAGCTGTCCCAGATGTTAAACGGGTAAAACTGGGGGATGGAGATTTCAGTATTTTGCTTTCGTGTTAATTTGAATGTAGAAAAGACTTGATTTTTTTGTTTTATTAATGCTTTTTTGCTCAGAATGTTGTAATTAAAAAAACATAAGGCAACAATTAAGATAAGATAAGAGTTCCTTTATTCGTCCCACAGAGGGGAAATGTCGATGTTGCAGTGCACAGACAGGGCAGCAGTAAGAGCACACAGGGAGCACACAAGAAATACAGAATACAAATTATAATACAAAGGATAAGAGGACATTAAAATAATAACAAACTAGATAAATTCATTAATTGATTATATGAATACGTCAAATGAATGAATAATATTAATAACTTAAATGAATAAATAATTGAATGCATTAAATAGAATGTATATTTTTAAATACCTAAATACATTAATACATAATTAATAATTGTACAAAATGTAAACATAATAATAAATATATGTATTAAAAAATATATACATTAATTAATTAAATGAGCACATAAAATGAACCAATAAATACATGATTCAATGAAATAAATAAATTAGTAAATTAAACCATTTTTTTTAAAATACCTTCATCGATACATAAATAATAATTGAATGAAATGTAAGCATAATAATGAAATATGTATAAAACATAGATAAATAAATAAATGAAAACCAAATTAAATTAATCAATAAATATATTTATAAATTAAACGAAAAATATAAAAATATAAATATATTTTAAATACCTACATAAATACATACAAAAAATAATCGAACAAAATGTAAATATAATATTTATATAAAAAGAGTAAAGAAAAAACTCTAAAGATGTATTAATAATAACAAAACTAATAAACTTAAGCAATAAAACTCTGAAATTACCACAAACAACGAGTGAAAAAGGAGTTTGTTATAATTCATAATCCTGGCTTTTGTGTGTGACTCTCAAACTTAACTGTAATTTAATGAACAAAATAAATTAAAATGATTGTGTTTCAGTACTGGTACGATGGCGACGAAGTGGGAGACCTCCCTGTGGACTTCTCCATCGTGTGGGACGGAGACTTCTTCATCGACAAACCTCTCTCCATGAAAGGTACAGAACGTGGCCAAAAGACTCAGGTTGCCAGATATGAAGACGAATCCAGCTGGGACCATAACAGCTGAATAGACAAGAGTTTTGTCAACAACAAATCTATAACCAACACCTTTTTCACAAAGATAGAAATCCTGGTTTTATTCCTTGTTTTCTTGTTAATGATTTGAGAATCATAACGAGACCTTTTTTAGTTCTGCGCCACATGGTACTTTACCAGTGAGATTAGCTCCACGCGGTGAGTTCTGGCGCCTGGATTACAGACATTCTGATTGGTGAAACGGTGGAGGGCGGGACATTGAAATGAAAACAATAACAAGATTTAGAGGCTGGAAAAGTAATTTAGAAATTCAAATATCTCTGAACTACTGTTATCAGTTAAAGAAGTATTGGAAAAGAGCAGTTTATTATTATGACAGATTAGGGCCCTTTAGTGATGACAGATTGGGGCCCTTTAATGATGACAGATTAGGGCCCTTTAATGATGACAGATTAGGGCCCTTTAATGATGACAGATTAAGGCCCTTTAGTGATGACAGATTAAGGCCCTTTAGTGATGACAGATTGGGGCCCTTTAATGATGACAGATTAGGGCCCTTTAATGATGACAGATTAGGGCCCTTTAATGATGACAGATTAAGGCCCTTTAGTGATGACAGATTAAGGCCCTTTAATGATGACAGATTGGGGCCCTTTAATGATGACAGATTAGGGCCCTTTAATTATGACAGATTAGGGCCCTTTAATGATGACAGATTAGGGCCCTTTAATGATGACAGATTAAGGCCCTTTAGTGATGACAGATTGGGGCCCTTTAATGATGACAGATTAGGGCCCTTTAATGATAACAGATTAGGGCCCTTTAATGATGCGTTGCTGTTTGTGTGTTAGCGCTGCTGTACAAGTGTGAGGCGCAGAGGAGCAGCTGTGGTCAGTGTCTGAGAGCGCCCCCTGCCTTTGAGTGCGGGTGGTGCATGGACTCCAGGAAGTGCCTCCTGAAGCAGCACTGCACTTCTCCAGAACTCAACTGGATGCACCACGGGCGCCACAACCTCCGCTGCAGCCACCCGCGCATCAGCAGGGTAAGGGGGTATCAGCAGGAGGGTATCAGCAGGAGGGTGTCACCAGGGTAAGGGGGTATCAGCAGGAGGGTATCAGCAGGGTAGAGGGGTATCAGCAGTAGGGTGTCACCAGAGTAGAGGGGGTATCAGCAGGAGGGTATCAGCAGGGGGGTATCAGCAGGAGGGTGTCACCAGGGTAAGGGGGTATCAGCAGGGGGGTATCAGCAGGAGGGTGTCACCAGGGTAAGGGGGTATCAGCAGGAGGGTGTCACCAGGGTAAGGGGGTATCAGCAGGAGGGTATCAGCAGGGGGGTATCAGCAGGAGGGTGTCACCAGGGTAAGGGGGTATCAGCAGGGGGGTATCAGCAGGAGGGTGTCACCAGGGTAAGGGGGTATCAGCAGGAGGGTATCAGCAGGGGGGTATCAGCAGGAGGGTGTCACCAGGGTAAGGGGGTATCAGCAGGAGGGTATCAGCAGGGGGGTATCAGCAGGGTAGAGGGGTATCAGCAGGGTAGAGGGGTATCAGCAGAAGGGCATCAGCAGAAGGGCATCAGCAGCAGGGTATCGGCAGGAGGGTATCAGCAGGGATGAGTCAGACTTGGTTAGCCGTGCTTCTAAGTCTTAATACATGTAAAAGCTTGTACTACTTTTTTATACTTGATATTTTTACTATACAAATACAGTGTATCTATACTTGTACTTTACTGCTTGAAGACACATGGGGCGTATTTTCCCTCCAGGTGCTACGGGTCTCTAATGCATTATTTTTTTATGCAATTCTTTCTAAATGATTAAAACAAATAGATTTAGTCATGCATCAACGTGTCAAGCTTTTTAACGATCTTTCGGTGTTAAATTTGATTTGATTTGGATCATTCCACGACGACACAAAGTGGATGATTTAATTTGTTAGAAGGAAAAATGAAAATGAGAGAAAATGATTGTCAGTCTTTAGATTCACATTTTCAAACATCCCATTCTCACTCAAAATTGAATTACTGACTCATGGGAACGATTTCTTCAAAATGTGTAAACAATGGGAAATATTGTTAATAATTTTGTGTAACTTTGTCACAGTTCAGTCCTGGTTCAGTCCTGGCTTTAAGCAGAGATCCGGACTGGTTCAATGTTTATAAAACGTATTAAAATGATTTCTATAAAGTATAGAACCAAGAACTAACAGTGGACCATGTTTTATCTAAAGCAGTAGTCTGTAAACATGTGGCTCAAAGTGGTACTGCAGCCTCTCCCACTCTCCCTGACTCAGGTTGCCAGATATGCAGACGAATCCAGCTGGGACCATAACAGCTGAATAGACAAGAGTTTTGTCAACAACAAATCTATAACCAACACCTTTTTCACAAAGATAGAAATCCTGGTTTTATTCCTTGTTTTGTCGTTAATGATTTGAGAATCGTAACGAGACCTTTTTTAGTTCTGCGCCACATGGTACTTTACCAGTGAGATTAGCTCCACGCGGTGAGTTCTGGCGCCCGGATCACAGACTTTCTGATTGGTGAAACGGTGGAGGGCGGGACATCGAAATGAAAACAATAAAAAGATTTAGGGGCTGGAAAAGTAATTTAGAAATTCAAATATCTCTGAACGACTGTTATCAGTTAAAGAAGTATTGGAAAAGAGCAGTTTATTATTATGACAGATTAGGGCCCTTTAATGATGACAGATTAAGGCCCTTTAATGATGACAGATTAGGGCCCTTTAATGATGACAGATTAGGGCCCTTTAATGATGACAGATTAGGGTCCTTTAATGATGACAAATTAGTGCCCTTTAATGATGACAGATTAAGGCCCTTTAATGATGACAGATTAGGGCCATTTAATTATGACAGATTAGTGCCCTTTAATGATGACAGATTAGTGCCCTTTAATGATGACAGATTAGGGCCCTTTAATGATTAATGATGGGGCTAAGATCATTCCTTTGTGGGCCGGATCCAGTCCCCGGGCCTGGACTTTGCCACCCCTGGTCTAAAGTGTTTCTCTCTCTGTTAGATCGAGCCTCTGACGGGGCCGAGGGAGGGGGGCACACGCGTCACCATTGAGGGGGAGAACCTGGGGCTGCAGGTGAAGGAGATCTCCCACGTCCAGGTGGCGGGCGTCAGGTGCACGCCGGTCCCTACGCAGTACATCAGCGCCGAGAGGTGAGTCCTGAACCACATCCATCTGTGCTGCAGGTTAGCATCATGGCATCATAGCATGTTAGCATCATGGCATCATAGCATTTATTATCATAGCATCATGGCATCATAGCATGTTAGCATCATGGCATCATAGCATTTATTATCATAGCATCATGGCATCATAGCATGTTAGCATCATGGCATCATAGCATTTATTATTAGAGCCCTGCACTTGAGCCCTTGGCCCGAGGGCCCCGACGGCCCGACAGCCCGAGGGCCGGGCTTCGGGCCGATGACCGCATAATGACCTCGGACACGGGCCGGGCTCGGGCTCTTCATTTTCAGAGCGGCAGAATAGATTTACGAGCGCACCCACTGAATATAGCGTTCTATCACGCTGTAGTGTTTGTTGTTCTGTGTAGTGTTGTCATTGACGGCACATAGCATTACTTACAGGTGTGTTGCAGCATCTGGGCATCATACAGCTGTGTATCATACAGCTGGGCATCATACAGATGCGGCCGTTCACTCTGCACCACTCCGCACACACAGAACTCATTGCAACACATCACTACCATGTATAATTCCGCCCTCTAGCTAAGTCTGCGTTCATATCAGTGCGCGGCACTATATACTACGCTAAAACATTGTTATGGGAGATTACAAAAAAAAAAAAAAGGCGGGCTTGATGCGGGTTTCGGGCCTGAAAATTCAGAAACCATATCGGGCCGGGCCGGGCTGGGGCGCCACCCCCTCGGGCCAGGGCCGGGCTCGGGCCCAGATAATAGGCCGTGCAGGGCTCTATTTATTATCATAGCATCATGGCATCATAGCATGTTAGCATCATAGCATGTTAGCATCATAGCATGTTAGCATCATAGCATGTTAGCATCATAGCATGTTAGCATCATAGCATATTAGCATCATAGCATGTTAGCATCATAGCATGTTAGCATCATAGCATGTTAGCATCATAGCATGTTAGCATTTTAGCATCATAGCATGTTAGCATCATGCATCATAGCATGTTAGCATTTTAGCATCATAGCATCATAGCATGTTAGCATCATAGCTTCATAGCATAGAATTATTGAAAGGAAGGAAGAGATAAAAAGGGAGAGAGAAAGAAAGGACGGGAAATAGACATAGGAGGGAAGAGAGAGAGAGAGAGAGAGAAAAGGAACGGAAAGAAACAAAGAAAAGTGATAGAAAGGAATGAAGAGAGAGAGAAAGGGATTAACAGAGAGAGAGGGAGAGGAAGGAAGAGAGAGAAAGAAAAGGGAAGGGAGAAATGCAGGTCTCCAGCAGCAGAAACATCCAAACAAAACAAATAAATATCTCATTCTAAAAGTGTCTAATTCAATAGTAATACAAGTGAAAAATAACAATAATAATAATAAAATGATGATGATGATGGTTGTTCCAGGATCGTGTGTGACATGGCGGAGGCGTTACTCCCCCACTCCCCCGGGGGCCCCGTGGAGCTCTGCATTGGGGTCTGCAGCGCGGAGTATCGGACGCTCTCCACTCAGACCTACTCCTTCGTCGTACGTATTCATCATTGAGCTCTTCATGTATTCACGAGGTCGTAAACAAACGCTAATGGACCCGCGGAACAATCTCTTTATCTTTTATTCATTTCTACTCATTCATCGACAAAGATTTATGCTCAAGGACGTCAACAAAATGGCCTCCGACATGACTGCACTTAACGTGAGGAAAGATAGAGCTTCTTTAAAGCAGCAGTCTGTAAACATGTGGCTCAAAGTGGTACTGCAGCCTCTCCCACTCTCCCTGACTCAGGTTGCCAGATATGCAGACGAATCCAGCTGGGACCATAACAGCTGAATAGACAAGAGTTTTGTCAACAACAAATCTATAACCAACACCTTTTTCACAAAGATAGAAATCCTGGTTTTATTCCTTGTTTTGTCGTTAATGATTTGAGAATCATAACGAGACCTTTTTTAGTTCTACACCAGATGGTACTTTACCAGTGAGACTAGGGCCCTTTAATGATGACAGATTAGGGCCCTTTATTGATGACAGGTTAGAGCCCTATATTGATGACAGATTAGGGCCCTTTAATGATGACAGATTAGGGCCCTTTAATGATGACAGATTAGAGCCCTTTAATGATGACAGGTTAGAGCCCTATATTGATGACAGATTAGGGCCCTTTAATGATGACAGATTAGGGCCCTTTAATGATGACAGATTAGAGCCCTTTAATGATGACAGATTAGGGCCCTTTAATGATGACAGATTAGGGCCCTTTAATGATGACAGATTAGAGCCCTTTAATTATGACAGATTAGAGCCCTTTAATGATGACAGATTAGGGCCCTTTAATGATGACAGATTAGGGCCCTTTAATGACGACAGGTTAGAGCCCTTTAATAATGACAGATTAGGGCCCTTTAATGATGACAGATTAGGGCCCTTTAATGATGACAGATTAGGGCCCTTTAATGACAGATTAGAGCCCTTTAATGATGACAGATTAGGGCCCTTTAATGATGACAGATTAGAGCCCTTTAATTATGACAGATTAGAGCCCTTTAATGATGACAGATTAGGGCCCTTTAATGATGACAGATTAGGGCCCTTTAATGACGACAGGTTAGAGCCCTTTAATAATGACAGATTAGGGCCCTTTAATGATGACAGATTAGGGCCCTTTAATGATGACAGATTAGGGCCCTTTAATGATGACAGATTAGAGCCCTTTAATTATGACAGATTAGAGCCCTTTAATGATGACAGATTAGGGCCCTTTAATGATGACAGATTAGGGCCCTTTAATGACAACAGGTTAGAGCCCTTTAATAATGACAGATTAGGGCCCTTTAATGATGACAGATTAGGGCCCTTTAATGATGACAGATTAGAGCCCTTTAATTATGACAGATTAGAGCCCTTTAATTATGACAGATTAGAGCCCTTTAATGATGACAGATTAGGGCCCTTTAATGATGACAGATTAGGGCCCTTTAATGACGACAGGTTAGAGCCCTTTAATGAAGACAGGTTAGAGCCCTTTAATAATGACAGATTAGGGCCCTTTAATGATGACAGATTAGGGCCCTTTAATGATGACAGATTAGGGCCCTTTAATGATGACAGATTAGAGCCCTTTAATGATGACAGATTAGGGCCCTTTAATTATGACAGATTAGAGCCCTTTAATTATGACAGATTAGAGCCCTTTAATGATGACAGATTAGGGCCCTTTAATGATGACAGATTAGGGCTCTTTAATGACGACAGGTTAGAGCTCTTTAATAATGACAGATTAGGGCCCTTTAATGATGACAGATTAGGGCCCTTTAATGATGACAGATTAGAGCCCTTTAATTATGACAGATTAGAGCCCTTTAATGATGACAGATTAGGGCCCTTTAATGATGACAGATTAGGGCCCTTTAATGACGACAGGTTAGAGCCCTTTAATAATGACAGATTAGGGCCCTTTAATGATGACAGATTAGGGCCCTTTAATGATGACAGATTAGGGCCCTTTAATGATGACAGATTAGAGCCCTTTAATTATGACAGATTAGAGCCCTTTAATTATGACAGATTAGAGCCCTTTAATGATGACAGATTAGGGCCCTTTAATGATGACAGATTAGGGCCCTTTAATGACGACAGGTTAGAGCCCTTTAATGAAGACAGGTTGGTGTTTTAATGTTCTCGCAGACCTCTTCTCTTCTAATCCAGGTAAAAACAACTGAGGGATTTAATATTTTCTCTTTAATGTACTGTGATTATTTAACTTTGAGTTGCCTTGTGTATGAACTGTGCTATACAAATAACCTCGCCTCTGCCCTGCCTAGAGCCCGAGCTTCAGCCGAGTGCGCCCAGAGATGGGGCCTGTCTCTGGGGGGACGCGGCTCATGGTGACCGGGCGCCACCTGGACGCTGGGAGCGCCGTCACGGTCTACATCCACAAGGAAGAGTGTCTGTTTGTCAAGTAAGATCCAGACCAGGTTTAGTCCTGATGAGGGTCTGACAGGTCCAGTTAAAGCAGGGGTCTCCAACCTGTGGCTCCCCAAAGGTTTCAGAATTTAACACATGATTCTGAATGAACACATTTTGAGTAATACACTTCTGTTATAACTACAGTGTGTTGCACCCTGGCTCTACAGGTGCAACATGAAGGACAACAGGCTACTAAAAGTTAATATAATTTATTAACAGAAACAAAAGTCTAGGGAGATAACACAAAGAAAACCAAAAAGGGGAAGGCAGGTGTGGTGGTGAGCAGGGCTGCTGCTGCCAGGACAGAGAGAGAGAGATGGGTGGAGTCAGGCTGGAAATCCTGGAAGTGGATCCTGGAACTGGAACAGGTCTGAATGGCAGCTCCACATAACAGTGTTATACAGTGTTATGGTGTTTTACGTGTGTTCTCCATCTTGTACTGTAATTATTAGATAGATTTGAATTACTAAAAGGAGTAGCTCTCTGCCTTTTCTTTTGTATTGAAATAGCTCTCTGATTGAAAAACATTAGAGACCTCTGAGTTAAAGGTGCTCTGTGTATTTTCTACTTTTGATCCAAATAAAAAAAACATATTAACCAAAAGTAATTTACATAGCGCCTTTCTCAGACCAGAGTCAAAGCAGTTTATAATTGTGGGCATTAGTCTGTCACTCCACACAGAGATGGGAGGGGCCAGTACAGGAGGCACAGACCTATTGTACATGTTTTTAGAGGTAGGGGAAACTGGAGCAACTGGAGGAAACTTACGCAGACACAGGGAGAACATGCAAACTCCACTCAGAAAGGCCCTGTTCCGACCAGGATTCAAACTCAGCCACCGAGCCGCCAAATGTGACCTTCTTAAGAATTGTTTTCATAGAATCTGACTTATTGTCCATGAGGCTGAGCACTCTCATGTTAATGCACAGTCTGTAAATACAGAGGCTGATAAGGGACAAAAAGGAGATAGAGCAGGAGTTGGGGACCATTGTCAAAGTCCACATATTCTCAAATGTGCAAGAAGCTGTTTTTTTTATATTTAATTTAACCCTTTTTATTCTCAAGTCCTGGACAAAAGGCGACACATGCAACATTTACTACATGAAGAAACACAAGCTGAAATAACAGTTAAAAGATTTAGATAAACATACAAATAATACCATAAAACACCAAAAAAGATCATTATAATAAGCCATGTTTATTTCAAGCAAATAAGAATATAAAAAAGGAAGGTAGATTATTAAAATTGTGCATTTACATAATACACAATTATAAATATTATACACACAAGAGAATCAGATGCAGAGAATATGTTGGTTCAGTGTCACTAATGTTTTGTTTTCTTCAGACGAACCAATCGCGAGATCATTTGCATAACGCCCGCCTCCCTGCCCAGCACTGGCCCCGCCCCCATCCGCCTGATGATTGACAGGGCCGAGGTCACAAACCCGGAAACAAAATACATTTACACCGAAGACCCGACCGTCACCAGCATCGATCCCAACTGGAGCATCCTCAAGTTCGTATTCACTGTGAACCATCGAGAAAATGACACGTTTTTAGTCAAATATTGGTGATTTACTGAAGTTTTGTTCTGGTTTGTGCAGTGGGAGCACTTTGATCACGGTGACTGGGACCAATCTCATGACCATTCAGGACCCCAAAGTCCGGGCCAAGTACGGAGGAGTCGAAACCACCAACGTAAGATGATATTTTACATTTACCGCTGCTGTATTTGTATGTTTTTACACGGTTAGAGCAGTGTTCCCCAACCTTTTTGAGCCGTGGCACCTTTTCTATTTAAAGATGCAGTCAGTGATTTTTTCCATATTGTGGGAAATCCATGTCGTAAGCATGTCTCTCCATAGCGGCCATTTTGAGGTCTATTTGACTAATAGACCTCAAAATGGCTGTTTGTTTAGAGATGTTTGTAGCTTTAACTAATTAAGTAAACGGATTTGCGTTTCCATGTTTTATTTTACAAACGAGTGAATAAAAGTGGGTTGGATGCTGTTACAAAAACTGTAAGACCTGGACTTTATCTTGAGTTGTTTGGTGAGATCGGATGCGCTTTTATTCGTTCACAGGTGACATATCCGGCTTCCGATTTTTACATTTTGGCATATCTCTAGCTATGTAGCTCAGGTCTCTCCAGAGGATACGATGTAAGCTAGCTCTGTTCAGGGCTTGGTTTCTTCTTTGATCATGTTGTGGCTTTAGTTCCTCTTCTCTTCCTCACTGTTGTGTGGTTTGGGCTGTTTTGCTGTGTCTGCAGTTACAGCCAGAGGAGCTATAGCCACTTATGCTAACATGCTACTGTGTTTAGCAGCGCTGTAGAGGCTAAAGGACGCAGCCTGTTCTGTGATTGGAGGAGAGTCTCTACTCAGCACTTTTTACGCCTGAATTTATACACAGCTGAATCAATGAGCTCAAGTTTTACATTCAATTACGGGTTATAATTCAACTTGTATGTAATAATATACATATTCATTTGAAAATAAATCGGGTATAGCTTCTTTAAATGACTTCTCTTCTAGACTTTTCTTCAGACCTAATGGTGTGAAAAACTACAAATGAAAGCATGAAACTAACTTAAACTTTCTGTCTTTTTCTCTAGTTCTGTACAGTGGTGAACGACAGCACCATGACATGCCTGGCCCCGGGGATAATCTACACCAAAGCTACCCCACCAGAGGGGGCGCTGCGGCCGGACGAGTTTGGATTCATATTTGACCAGGTATCTACATCTGTCGCACCTGAAAATGTGATTTTTTCTGGTGTCGTCCTCGATCATGATATTTCTATTTTCTGCACAGGTGTCCTCTCTGCTGGTGTTAAACTCTACCTCCTTCAGTCACTACCCCAACCCGACCTTTGACCCCCTGGGCTCGTCTGGGATCCTCGAGGTCAAGCCAGGATCACCCATCATCCTCAAGGTCAGAACAAAACAGACTGAGTTTGCATGTTCTCCCTATAGTTGACCTTCGGGTGCTTCAGTTTTCCTCTTAAAGATATGCTGGTCAGGTTCAAGTCCAGCCTGGTCTTACCACACCACTAGCATTTAGCCTAGCTTTAGCATTTAGCCTAGCTTTAGCATTTAGCCTAGCTTTAGCATTTAGCCTCGCTTTAGCATTTAGCCTAGCTTTAGCCATCTCCTTTGTCACTAACGGAGCCTGTGGGGAGTAGAGCCACAACATCTTTTCTTCAATGACATTTACTAAACATGTAAGACCCAGACGTACATGTAGGAGATGACCATGGACCAGAGTTTACACATGGTAAGACCAGACGTACATGTAGGAAATGACCATGGACCAGAGTTTACACATGGTAAGACCGGACGTACATGTAGGAAATGATCATGGACCAGAGTTTACACATGGTAAGACCCAGACGTACATGTAGGAGATGACCATGGACCAGAGTTTACACATGGTAAGACCGGACGTACATGTAGGAAATGATCATGGACCAGAGTTTACACATGGTAAGACCAGACGTACATGTAGGAGATGATCATGGACCAGAGTTTACACATGGTAAGACCGGACGTACATGTAGGAAATGATCATGGACCAGAGTTTACACATGGTAAGACCAGACGTACATGTAGGAAATGATCATGGACCAGAGTTTACACATGGTAAGACCAGACGTACACGTAGGAAATGATCATGGACCAGAGTTTACACATGGTAAGACCCAGACGTACATGTAGGAGATGACCATGGACCAGAGTTTACACATGGTAAGACCGGACGTACATGTAGGAAATGATCATGGACCAGAGTTTACACATGGTAAGACCAGACGTACATGTAGGAGATGATCATGGACCAGAGTTTACACATGGTAAGACCAGACGTACATGTAGGAGATGATCATGGACCAGAGTTTACACATGGTAAGACCAGACGTACATGTAGGAAATGACCATGGACCAGAGTTTACACATGGTAAGACCAGACGTACATGTAGGAAATGACCATGGACCAGAGTTTACACATGGTAAGACCAGACGTACATGTAGGAAATGACCATGGACCAGAGTTTACACATGGTAATGCTAGGCTAGCTCAGTTGTAACCATCCATCTGATCCATGCCATTCTGTTCTGCTTAATTTGTTTATCATAGAAGTTACCAAGGCCTTGCAAACTACAAAACAATGAAATCATTTTTTCCTATTTTATGCCTGAAAATATTGATTTTAGTTTAATTTCAGCAAAACGGGGCACGCTCTCACAAAGTCGAGATCAAATCAGAAATTGAGCTGGAAAATTGCAGCAGCTTTGGCCCCGAGGTCTTAAATGATGTCACACTCTATAACTCTCTGCAATGGTTCATTAGATTGTTGAGTCACCAAACCTCATGCTGTGAACAGAAAGGACGTTTCTGGGGTTTAGTATTTTTGTGCTCATTTCTTTATCTTTTTACGGATTCAGTTTATTTGCCATTTGCAGTAAAACCTCAGTTTCAAAACAAGTGATGATAATTTAAAGTGCTTTGTTTAAACTGACAATAGTTTGTGTTCGACTGTTAGCATGTCCTGCATCTTAGCGAACGATATCTTCTGCCAGAAGGAAGAAGCTGGAACATGGCTTTTCCAGGGGCCAGATTAGACCGATCACAGTCCTCTCTCTGGTCTCTCTTTTTGCTCTCTCTCTTGTCTTTCTCTCTCTCTGGTCTCTCGCTGGTCTATCTCTGGCTTCCCTCTGGTCTCTCTCTCTGCTCTCTCTCTTGTCTTTCTCTTTCTCTGGTCTCTCGCTGGTCTCACTCTGGTCTCTTTTTCCGGTCTTTCTCTGGTCTCTCTTTAGTCTCTCTGGTCTCTCTCTCTGGTCTCTGTCTGGTCTCTCTCTCTGGTCTCTGTCTGGTCTCTCTCTAGCCTCTCTGTGGTCTCTCAGGTCTCTGTCTGGTATCTCTGGTCTCTCTCTCTCTGGTCTCTGGTCTCTCTCTCTGGTCTCTCTCTCTGGTCTCTCTCTCTCTCTGGTCTCTCTCTCTGGTCTCTCTGGTTTCTCTCTCTGTTCTCTGGTCTCTCTGGTCTCTCTCTCTGGTCTCTCTCTCTGTTCTCTCTCTCTGGTCTCTCCTGGTCTCTCACACTCTGGTCTCTCTCTGGTCTCTCACTCTCTGGTCTCTTGCTGGTCTCTCTCAGGTCTCAAAGGTTCAATGCTGCAGCCATAAAAGTGAAGCAGGATCTTAGTTTGTGGTAAATTCTCTAAGTTTCCACAGGAAGTAGAGACACTGACGAGCTTTGTTCCCCTACCTGGTCCCATTCCTGGTATATCACTCACAATGCCTTCTTTGTTTCTGGTATTAGGGAAAGAACCTGGTCCCTGCGGCTCCGGGAAACTCTCGTCTGAATTATACGGTTCTGATCGGAGACTCTCCCTGTGTCCTCACGGTGTCGGAGAGCCAGCTGCTGTGCGACTCGCCCGACCTCACGGGGGAGCACAAAGTCCAGGTTAGAACAACACATGACTTATTTACCGTCTAAAAACATGGGTAAAGATGGACCTGATCCTGGGGTTTGTTATTGTCCGGTCCAGTCATGAGCGTCAAGAACTGTCCAATCAAATGTGCTGTTCCTGAAATACCGGTTTGGTCAGATTGGTCCGAACGCTGCCCTCTGATTGGTCAAAGCGTGGTCGAGCTCCTCTGCGCACGTGCATGAGAGCCACACCTGCAATTAGGCGCAAAGCATCAAAGCATTTCTGTGTAACATGAATTTGGTCTGCAGTACCACAGCGCCCCCTGTGGCCATGAGTGGGACAGCTGTAAGCTAGTAATACTCTATCAAGTTATTATTATAGATCCATGTTATTATTATAGATCCATGTTATTGTTATTGATCCATGTTATTGTTATAGATCCATGTTATTGTTATAGATCCATGTTATTATAGATCCATGTTATTGTTATTGATCCATGTTATTATTATAGATCCATGTTATTGTTATAGATCCATGTTATTATAGATCCATGTTATTGTTATTGATCCATGTTATTGTTATAGATCCATGTTATTATAGATCCATGTTATTGTTATTGATCCATGTTATTGTTATAGATCCATGTTATTGTTATAGATCCATGTTATTATAGATCCATGTTATTGTTATTGATCCATGTTATTATTATAGATCCATGTTATTATTATAGATCCATGCTATTATATATTGTCTAAATACACACAGAGAGATACAGAGGAATCACAGGAAGCAACTTCAAAACTGCAAGAGAACTAATGTAGTCAAATAAAACCAGGTCAAAATAATCCAAAAAGTCCAAACCAGATTCAGATTTCAGATTCATTTATTGGCCATGTGCAGTATAAAAACTACATTGGAATACATTTGCAAAAAAAGGTACTCTGTGTGCACCGACAGAATAAAAAGCACAATACAATGTAATATAAAATACACATACACTGAATATAAAATAATAAAAAAACAGCTGACACTGTGGCACCGATCAACAAAACGATACAAGGGGTAAAAGCAGGAATAAAAGTGCTCTGTTTTGGCACATAACAGTCTGTGGATCATGTCATCACTGGGTTAGTCCACTCTGCCCTCTAGAGTCTAAAGTCTAGGGTCTAGAGTCTGAAGTCTAGATTCTGAAGTCTAAAGTCCACATTGTATTCTGTATCTCCTCCGTCCATGTGTCTCTCGGCGTATATTGACTCAGTCGGTGGGATTAGTGTGTTAATGTCAGCTCCAGCAGGGGGCGCTGTGGGGATCTCTCTGTAATTGGTCTGAAGTGGCTGCTCTTCAAATGGACTCATGAATAAAATATTAAAACCATTATCGACCTTCTTCCATAGAAACAATCATTAATGAAGTAGCCTCTGATAATATGGATTCATAAACGCTCGTGAAAAGTCTGAGGAGAAGTCTGAGGTTTATTCAAGACTGTCGGATTGAAACATTTTTAATTACAACGTCTAAACACCGCTGGTTTAGAACGATGCTGTATTGAGTTTTGGTGATACTGACTTAGACTTAGACTTTATTGATCCACAGTAGCTTGCATAGTATTCCACAGTTAAAATAACAACCTGAAAATAAGATTACTAATAATAATATATTGTGAGAATAGAATAATCTGGATATAGGGACTCAGGATTAAACATATCTGTGAATATGTACATTTACAGAATACAATACAGAGATAATGGGATTCTACACATCTGTTTACTTATTGACGAATTTGTCTGAGACCCTCTATTTGACTGGCGATTACAGGACAATAGAAATAGCTAAAAACAAACTTATTTTTGCTGATCAAAGAAGACAATCCAGTCTTTCAGAATCTGGTTTCACATTTCACATCGGTTTAAGAAATAATATTCTGTGTGTGTGGGCAGTCCCTCCTGTGGGCCCACCACCCGCAGAGGGGTCCGTGGCGGCTCGGTGCAGAGAGGACTGGGCGGCAGTCGAAGGCGGAGACCTCGGCGACCCAGTCCGCACACCCAACATCTGGCTCTTGGGACGTGGAACGTCACCTCACTGGGGGGGAAGGAGCCCGAGCTTGTGGGGGAGGTCGAGAGGTACCGACTAGAGATAGTCGGCCTCACCTCCACACACAGCTTGGGCTCTGGAACCCAACTCCTTGAGAGGGGTTGGACGCTCCACTTTTCTGGTGTTTCTCGCGGGGAGAGGCGGCGAGCTGGGGTGGCCATACTCATTGCCCCCCATCTCAGCCGCCACGTGTTGGAGTTCTCCCCGGTGAATGAGAGGGTCGCGTCCCTCCGCCTTCGGGTGGGGGACAAGTCTCTCACTGTTGTGACGGCCTACGGGCCTAACAGCAGTGCAGAGTACTCGGCCTTCTTGGAGTCCTTGGGAGGGGTACTGGACGGTGCACCGCCCGGGGACTCCGTCATTCTCCTGGGGGACTTTAACGCCCATGTGGGAAGCGCCAGTGACACTTGGAGAGGGGTGATCGGGAAGAATGGCCCCCCTGATCTGAACCCGAGTGGTGTTCAGTTGTTGGACTTCTGTGCTAGTCACGGTTTGTCCTCCACGAACACCATGTTTGAGCACAAGGGTGTCCACCAGTGCACGTGGCACCAGGACACCCTAGGCCGGAGGTCGATGATCGACTTTGTTGTCGTATCATCTGACCTTCGGCCGCGTGTTTCGGACACTCGGGTAAAGAGAGGGGCGGAGCTGTCAACCGATCACCACCTGGTCGTGAGTTGGATCCGCTGGCAGGGGAAGAAGCCGGTCAGACCTGGCAGACCCAAGCGTATAGTGAGGGTCTGCTGGGAACGTCTCGCTGAGACCCCTGTCAGACGGACTTTCAACTCACACCTCCGGGAGAGCTTCTCCCAGGTCCCGGCGGAGGAGGGGGATATTGAGTCTGAGTGGACCATGTTCTCTTCCTCTATCGCCGATGCGGCGGCTCGTAGCTGTGGTTGCAAGGTCTCTGGTGCTGGTCCCGGCGGCAACCCCCGAACCCGGTGGTGGACACCGGCACTAAGGGATGCCGTCAGGCTGAAGAAGGAGTCCTACCGAGCCATGATGGTTCGGGGGACTCCTGAGGCAGCTGTCCAGTACCGGCAGGCCAAGCGTGCCGCGGCCCGGGCTGTTGCAGAGGCAAAAACCCGGGACTGGGAGGAATTCGGAGAGTCCATGGAGCATGACTATCGGTCGGCCTCGAAGAGATTCTGACAAACTGTCCGGCGCCTCAGGAGGGGGAAGCAGTTCTTTGCCAACACCGTGTATGGTGCAGATGGAGAGCTGCTGACCTCGACTGGGGATATTGTAACCCTAACCCTAACCCGGAGATGGTAGCCTTGAAAAACCCCATGCGTTGCAGAGCACAAGACTGCATTGGAAAATCCTGTGTCCGATGCATGACATGCAATGTGTACCTGTGCTTGCAAAGTGAACGCAACTGCTTTGCAGCATTTCACACTTGCCAATAGGGCTCTTCCAAACAGGCAGATTGCTTTCTAGAAAAAGAGAGGGAGCTAGTTTGAAAAAAGCCCCGGTTCAAAAGCTGTTCAGCAGAATTTTACTCTTTTAGGACTGTTAATAATATTTGCCATTATTTGTTCTAGTATTGTATTTATCAATTCAATTCAGCCATATTGAAGGCTTGAAATAGACAGTTTACACAGTATTTTGCAGTTTTATTTATGTATAGCCAATTTTTGTCATGTGGATGAATGAAGAACAAGGGAACCCAAATTGCAGGACTGAAAATCAAAGTAATTTAATAAAATAAATCCAAGGTAATGTAAAAACAGAACTGAAGCCAGGACAAACGTGGTGGAGACAATGGACGGACAACAAGAGAGGAAGGGCACAGGGTATATATACACACACAGGGACACACAGGTGAATCACATTAGGGCGGGGCAACAATCAACAGGACAGGCAGGATTCAAACTCAACCAGGTCAAAATGTCCACACCATGACATTTTTAGGCTTTGAAGATAGAGCTGTTTGGATTTTATGTCTAACTTTGATGTTTACATTTTTCAAATAAACTGTTATATACTATTTTAGACCAATGGAGTCTATTTGTATTGTATAGTAAGGTCGACCCACTGTACTCATATGAGGACATTGATTTTTGAGAGAAGTACTAATTGGATCAAGCTGAAATTTTGAATTTCAACTAATTAGGACCTTCCGGCCTCAAAGAGCATACATTTTTTCTTTAGGTTATGAGAGACCCACTGTCCTCATACGAGGACATGTTTTTTCTCAAAAACTACTTCCTGTACAAAATCACAATTTAGGTATTATACTTATTGGGTCCTACTTATCCTAAATAGCAAAAAAATATATAAAATGCACACCAGACAAATGCTCGGGTCTCAGGAGGTTATATTGAGTTTTATATTATATTTTGAGTTAAAGCGTATTGTATGTATTTTGATTATTTTGAAGGAAACGTGATTTATTTTTGTACTTACATTCATGCTAGCTTGATGCTAATTGTTTTGGAAACTGAACTTCCTGGAAAATGAAACCCACGTGAAAAAGTAAACCAATCAGAAGGAAGACATTTTTTATTTTGACCAATAAAACGTTGGTATGCTTGGGAAGGCGGGTCGTTTAGCAACTGACATTATTCTAGGCCAATCAGAGGCTTGAAGTGGCGGAGGCAGGGCAGAACAAGAAACCAATCAGATGCGAGCTTGGCTAAGTGGGCGTGAGGATGTTTTTCACTTCGGTTCTTTGGGTTGGAAACTGGACGAAATCTCTGGCTCCGACGGCTATATCAACTGCGTAGGAAACAAGCTAACTGCGAGCCAAAATGGCGCCCGACGATACTGCAGTTTCACTGTGACAACGACAGCGCTAGGGGGCGGGCCGTAACTGCATCACAGCTGATCTGAAGCTTCCCCCTCAAGTTGTTTTTTGCAGTGGAGCTTTGCAGGATTCACAAGGGGATCTCTTGTTTTTTTCCACCCCCTTTCTTCTTTTAAACAATCGCCTTATGTG